CAGAATCAGTTTTGGAATAGAATTAAAAAGCAAAAAAAAGTTACTTCTTAATTATGGGAACAAGAACTAGAAATGGAAAAGAAATTTTTTTCTTCTTCTTCTTGGTTGTCTTCTTCATTTTCTTCCTGACCTGTGGCCGGTCGCTGGTCGCCGGCCACAAGCTAGGGCTGGCGAGGGCGAGGGCGGCTCTCGCCCAAGCCGCGAGCCGCCCTCTTCGGCCCTGGCCTGTGGCCGATCGCCGGCGCCGGCGACCTGGCCATGGGCCAAGGAAGGGGGAGAAGAAGAAAAAAAAAAGGAAAAAAAGGAAAAATAAAAAGAAAGAAATATTAAAAAATTCAAAAAAGTATTAATAAAAGGAAATTTTGTGTAAGTACCAAACGCATTTTTGTTCTTTTTCTATTCCAAGAATAGAAATTTTGGCTAGTTACCAAACGCTTTCAAATGCTTAGAAATTATTTTCAGGAATAGAATAAAAAAGAATCATTTCTGAGCAGAAATTATTTTCGAGAACAAAATGGTTATCAAACGCACCCTAAGAGGATGCTTAAAGATGAGACCCACAATGGATAAAATGGTTACAATGTTTTATTGGGGAGTGTTTTAGCCAAATTAGGAGTGAAAAAAGCGTGGCTCATTTCCTATATATATACTTCTTCTTCTTTCGATGTTCGGCATTTTTATAATTTTTTTAAAACTCAAATCAAATTTGTTTTTTTTAGTTCTATCGCAGGTTCCAAAATACTACTATTTAACTGTATGTAGAATATTCTTGTGTACTTTTTATTTGATTCTCCTTACATTGACTTTCCAGTGAATCGAATAAGGATCTTTTTATTTTTCGAGGGGGGCCACTGAAATAAAGGGGCCAGTATTGCCTTCACTCATTTGTCTATTAATGCCATGAGCTACTTAATTAATGTTGCTAAAGAATTTCTAAAAACACAATGCTGAATTTATTAATATTGGTTCACAAAATATCCAAATTGGACGTGACCCTCGATTTGTATTTATGATTTATTTGCAGCCTCTCCTTTCCCTTTTAATTTCTGCAGAAATCACATGGCACAAAAGTAACAACATGGGTTTAAAAAAAAAACAATGAGGAAAAAACATATGAAAATTGGCAAAGGAAGGAGGGAAGGGGGGGAGCTTCATCATCATCACCATCATTTGCAGGCTTTTCCGGTTGAATGATTTTGATCATTTTCGAAAACTCCACACGGCTCTGTTGTGTGATTGCACATACTTTGTCCTTTAGCTCTTTTCATTGAACTTTTCGTTAAGAAAAATTAAAGGGAAAAATCCATCTTTTCCTTTCTTTTATCGTTCTTTTTTCCAGGTCCAGGTCTGGTCAGATTCTCTTATTGCCCTTCTTTTCTAAAAGTCTCCTCTTAGATGCATCAGCCTTATCCAACTGAAGCAAAGAGACAGGGCGAACAGGCAGCGAAGGACAAAGTCAGATCTTCCCTTCAACTCATTGTGGTACAGAGCCGAGAATCCACCGCCATACATTGATCACCCGGAGTGAATACCCAAAGAAAGAACCTAGGATGAATTAATTACGTTGCGCATCATCAATTGGATGAGTTGAGATTCTTGCGTTTCGGTAGAATGCGAAGCCATAGCTCGAGCGGATGTATGTTCTGAAAGACTTCATTTTAGATTTTTTGGTACGTTCATAAAAAATGGCGGGATGCGATTGTACCACCCTCGTGAACCACGACGGTAACAAAAACGGTGGCGCCTCATCATTGCACGAGGCTGGATTTTGGACGTGGAACAACTCGATCGGCGATTCTATGGTCGAGCTACTTAGAAAGAACGAGAGAGGAGCACATCCACATCCACATCATGAGAGTGACCTAAAAGACTGAGCAATAGAAGAAGTAGGAATTGAGCTTGCATCCGATCATTCTCGTGAAAAACTTCCATTAGACCATGTAGTAGGAACATGAGTTAATTTGGCTACTACAAACAAACACATGTAGTAGGACTAGACATTAAATTTACGTAGGACCCATGAAAGGGCACAAGGCCCCAACATGTCTTGGGTGCATTAGGACAAGATGAGGGAGAGAGTGTCTTTGGGTGGGGCACGGACGGTTGGGTCGACTGGAGGGCAATGTATGCCCCACCAAAGGGCCACAAGGAAAGAAACCCTAATTTCGACGGCCCTTTTGTTCCCATGTGACCAAAATTTAAGAGCAACATTCCAAGACAACAACCCCCTTTGTGCCCCCCCACTCCCAAATCTATCCCCTCTTTCATTTTCTTTCCCCAAAAAATCGGTCTAACATGAGTCGATGTGCGTTTTGCAATTGGACGCTCGACGCACCGTCTCCTCCTTTTCCTCCCTTGTGTTCTCACTAGCGGTTAAAGGGAGGGAGACGAGTATGAATGGACAGAGAGAAAGTAACAATTGAAGGCGAGAGAGGGAGAGAGAGAAGGGGGGGGTGGTGATTAAGCATGACTGTGTATGTGTTTTGTGGCATTTGGCTTTGGCGTTATGGGTAAGGAGTAAAAGAGTTGCGTTCGTCGGTATTTGAGCTGCTTATCACATGTCATATAGTGTGTATGGTCAAGTCATATACATTCCATAAGTTCTCCAACAAAGGTGATATCATACGCGGTTAACAATATCTTTGTGAACGCCTTTGAACAAGTCCGTGGAAATCGTTGATCTTTTATATATATATCGGTTATGAACAAGCCGATAGGCTTAGAGATAAGTTATGTCGATAATGTTTGTTCATCAGTTGTTTAATTTAATATTGGACTGACGAGTCGGTCTGTTCTATCAAAATGTATACCGATGAGGTTAGTCAAACATAAATGTAACAATTGTTACTGTTCAATCACCGACTTGCTTCTTCTTCTTCTTCTTTTTTCATTTCTATGGAGCTATCGGTCTGTTCTGCCTTCTTCGAACATCTCCCAAATTCATACGGCGACACCACACAATCAAAATCCTCCTAAGCTATAAGATGGCCAGCTGAAGTAGCAGCGAGACCCCTGTGCTTCGGGAATTGTATTCACATTTTCATGTGGCCAAATGATCGACGAATCTACTTTACATTTGAAAAAATGAGAGACCAACAAGCCCTACACATTCCCACGGTTCATTTTTCCTTTTGCCACTGACACATCGAATTTACATGATTAACAAAGTGGTCAAGGCTTGATTGGATCATTGGAAATTGGTTCACGACCTTACATTTATACTCGATGAAATCAAATTCCGATGAAAACTGTGATTTGACCAGGGGAATCAAGCAGGTCAACTTGTAGGAGAAAAAGGGAGGTCCGAATGTGTCCTCCCAACCAACAAGTTGTATCGGCATGACCATCGGACTACAGATCCTTGTCGAGACTGATATTGATCTGTAGATGATCTTGACGTTGATTTCACTATCTCAGTTTTATCCCATGGATGGAAATAATCCCAATTCGACCCGTAAACGATTAATGCATGACCTGATATGGAAGGATCTCTTTATCCCTTAAATTTAGTAAATACTGTGGAGTTTACACAATCTTCATACATGCTATATAAGACAAGCTCGAGAAGTAGCTCTTAACCTCAAATTTTTACCGAAAAAAAGAAAATTAGTAATACTCATATACACAATAAGATGAATTGTAACCATATACTATCAAACAATAGTCAAAACGGTGATGATTCTCCGTGTGTAGATTCTAAAGTAACGTTAAACTATTCCATAAATTACAACAATATGGGATTCTTCTTCAATTAGTTCGTGTTTTCCTTTTTTGTGTACAATTCTTTCTTTGGTAAAATTTTGTATACAATTCACAATTATATATTTGATATATGGAACAATAATTTAAATCATCTTGACTGAAATAGACCAGGCTTCTCAACTTTTCGTCTCTTGGAAAGAGCAGCATAGAGAGACTGATTATTCAAAACTCCATGACCCGTCCCGTTTAGTGAGCGCATGTTTAATTAATGAATGATTATCGTATAACATACCTCATTTGCTGTAACCAGCACAACACATGTACCCCCCAAAAAACAAATGGAATGTCCCACTTAATTATAAACTTATATGCCCGAGAAGTACATTCCATGTCGTTCTTTCAGGATAACCACATTCTTAATCATTAAATATGTACTTAGTACTTTTATATTTAGAGGGACAGAAAGGGGGGCGTTATTAATTGGAAGATTGCATCGTGACAATATTGAATCAAATCTCATGTTATTATGGATTTTGTTAAGAAGTGCTCTTAGGGAAAATGTTAAACATATTGTCATTTTCAAAACACTATTGATCTCGTGTTATGCAAAATCATGCGTTGAAAATGAAATTATTTTTTTGTTTGTTTGTTATGGTTTGAAAGTGCCTCAGAGTACTCGTTATAAGACCCTATGGCACAATGGAAATATATGATTCCGGGATATCCCGACCTAAAACAAGGAAGCAATAATATTTTTCCTGAATAATGATAATCGGAAGATTACATCATGATACTATCGAATCAAGCGTTTCTTAGGGAAATTTGTTAAACACTTTGTGATTCTCAAAATACTTTTGATCTCGTGTTATGCCCAATCTTGCTTTGAAGGAAATTATATATTTTTTTGTTTGTTATGGTTTAAAAGTGCCTGTGATAACCTGTTATAAGGCCCTATGGCACAATGGCCCGACCCTAAAACAAGGACGCAATAATGTTTTTCCAGAACAATGAAATGGCATTTTTTTTTTCCAAGATAGAAAAGAGGGCAAGGGCAAAATCGTCCAGGACGGCCCAAGAAGAAAAGGAAAAATTTAAAGAAGCACCTAATTCGTTGACCCTTAGAATTCCAATGGCGGCCCCTACGCCGTTGCTCTTGCCACGAATAATACCAAAGGCCTCTCTCTCCTTCTCTCTCTCTTTCTCTCTCTCGCGTGGTATTAAAAAGCGGAGACACTAACAAGGAGCCAAAGCTCTCAGTCATATAAGAGAACAAAAATCGCTCAACAGAGACACACACAGCAAGAGAAAGAAGAAGAAGAAAAGAGACCCCCACATCCTTTCTCTCTCTCTCTCTCTCCCTCTTTCCCTCCCTCTCTCTCTCTCTCTCTCTGTTTAAACATGGAGGACGAGGCGTTTGGGTGGCTGAAGCTGGCGCTGATATGCGCGGCCCTGGCGGCGGCTGCACTGAGGATCGCGGCGGTGCTGTGGTGGAGGCCGAGAAGGATCGAGGACCACTTCTTGAGGCAAGGCATAAGGGGGCCGCCGTATCGGTTCTTCATCGGGAACGTGAAGGAGCTGGTGGGGATGATGATGAAGGCATCGTCGCAGCCCATGGCGCCCCCCTTCTCCCACAACATCCTCCCCAGGGTGCTCTCCTTCTATCACCACTGGAAGAAGATTTATGGTACTAGCGAAGTTTTCTTTTATTCCAAGGTCGTTCTTGGTGCGTTTAATGTTTTACATTAGCGAGAATGGTTCTTGGGTTTTCGTGGGTGGTTGAGTGTCTTTGTTTTGAACGGCACGACTTCTTGATGATTAAAGCGACTGCGAATGTACTTCAGTGTGATGATGTTCCTTCGGCCCTTTGAGTTTTTTCTTTTTAGTGGCTTACTGTTTTGTTCTTTTGAGTTCTCTCTAGGGTACTTCTTTTAACGGCTTTTCGGTCTCTCGCTCCTTTTTCCTTCCCTTTCTTACTCTTTATCTTTTGGGTTTTGTGGGTCTTTTGAGTTTTGGTGTTCTTGATGTTGAAGTTGAGATTTTGGACTGTTTTGGGTCCTTCTATTAATGCTTCTTGCACCTCCTTGCTTCCACCTCTCACCTTGGTGCTCGTCAAATTACACTATTTTTCTTTCTTTCCTTCAAATAATTAATGTGAGAGATTCTAGCTCCAGCAGTTCTTGTTTTCCCTATCCCCTTTCAATTTGCAGGCGTTGCGAAATTTGCAAATTCAATTTTCCTTTTTTCCCCTTTTTCCCTTCTGTATTGCGTACAATGAATTGTTATTCTTCTTCTGAGGGGCTGAGCTACGTTTTCTCGCTGGCTTTCCCTTGTCCGCTTTCGTTTGTTTATCATGGAAGTTCGAATGTGACAATGAAGTTCCTTGTGTTTGTTAGCGACACTGTTCTTAGTTGTCTTTGTTCTCTCTCTCTCTCTCTCTCTCTCTCTCTACTGTCTTTCTCTCTCTCTAACTCTCTCTGGGTGGTGGTAGGGTCTACACTATCCATGCCCTCCGAATTTAATGGTTGTCTTGTAATCCTGCTCATTCCTCTTTAAGCAAACTTCCCACTTACTACTTGAGGCCTTGTGGTAGTTCCTTCTTGGTGCGAGAAACCCTTTGCCTTTGGCAGCTGTTTCCATCTGTTCTATAGTTTTCCCCCATTAGCATGGAAATTTAATGCCACATTATCACCACCGTCGTCGTCGTCCTCATCTCGTTGCACTAATCGTCCTCTAGTTTTTATGACATCACGAGGCGTTTTCATGGCAGGGTCAACGTTTCTGGTGTGGTTCGGACCCACGGTCCGGCTCACGGTCTCGGACCCAGACCTGATCAGGGAGATTTTCACCTCCAAGCAGTCGGAATTCTACGAGAAGAGCGAGTCGCACCCCCTCGTGAAGCAGCTCGAAGGCGACGGCCTCCTCAGCCTTAAGGGCGAGAAATGGGCTCACCACCGCAAGATCATCCTCCCCACATTCTACATGGAAAATCTCAAAGTAAAGCATCCCTCCCAAGAATCCCACAAGAAAATTTCAATCACGTCAAGAAACAAACACTCGATCAGTCAATGCAGATCGATTGACTTGTTATCTCTCTTAGCCAATTTCTTTTTTTGTGTGCAGCTGCTGGTGCCGGTGGTGGCGAGTAGCGTGACGAGCATGTTGGAGAAATGGGAGGCATTGATGTCCAAATCCGGAGAGGTCGAGATCGAGGTGTCGGAGTGGCTCCAGAACCTGACCGAGGACATCATCACCAGAACAGCATTCGGCATTAGCTACGAAGATGGCAAGGCCATCTTCAGGCTCCAAGCTCAGCAGATGGTCCTCGCAGCCGACGTTTTCCAGAAAGTCTTCATTCCTGGCTATAGGTAAACCAGTAAAAACAAAAATCAATTAACCCTGCTCTATAACACTCATCGATCAAGCAATACCCATCATCGCCTACCCGTCGAATGTTTCGGAACTGGCGTGCCGGGCTCGGTTGGCGAAATACCCAAAATTTATTCGATGCATTAACTCACTCTCTTATGGTCTTTTGGCAGGTTCTTGCCAACGAAGAGGAACATAGTCTCCTGGAAGCTGGACAGGGAGATAAAGAAGTCGCTCGTTAAGCTCATCGATCGCCGGAGAGAGGAGTCCGGCAGCGACGGCGATGGTGGCGGCGATGGCGATGCGACGCTCGAGGGACGAAGCCGGAGCCGGCCCAACGACCTGCTGGGGCTGATGATCCAGGCCTCGAACGCGTCGGACGCGGTCTCGGTGAACGACATCGTGGAGGAGTGCAAGGGGTTCTTCTTCGCCGGCAAGCACTCCACGTCGAACCTGCTGACGTGGACGACAGTCCTCCTGGCGATGCACCCGCAGTGGCAGGACCGGGCACGTGACGAGGTCCTCAGGGTGTGCGGGTCACGTGACGTCCCCACCAAGGACGACCTTGTCAAGCTCAAGACGGTACCGCTCGTCTCTGTTTTTTTCGCCTTTCTTTTCATCTACCGAAAAAGACCCCCCAACACTACACGCACTTGAGATTTTAGTTCATCATAACATTCATTTTCGGTGCTGTTTTGTGTATCTGATATGATTGATCGTCTGTGCAGCTGACCATGATAGTGAACGAAGCCCTGCGGCTGTACCCGCCGGTCGTGGCGATGATCCGGCGGGCTAGGGCAGACGCGGAGCTCAACGGGTACCAGATCCCGCGCGGGACCGAGATCCTGATCCCAATCCTGGCCCTCCACCACGACCAGGCCATATGGGGGAGCGATGCCAACGAGTTCAACCCAGCCCGGTTCGCGGACGGCGTGGCCCGGGCGGCGAGGCACCCGGGGGCGTTCATCCCCTTCGGCCTGGGGCCCCGGATCTGCATCGGCCAGAGCCTGGCCCTCTTGCAAGCCAAGCTGGCCCTGGCGATCATAATCCAACGGTTCTCGTTCGTCCTCGCACCGAGCTACCGGCACGCCCCGACGGTGCTGATGCTCTTGTACCCGCAGCACGGGGCGCCCATCATATTTAAACGGTTGACTGATCCTCCGGCCCCACAAGATCAACGGTTGTGAATCGAAGCTTGTCCTTAGTATATCTGATGAAGGAATTTTTTGCGTATGTGTTGGTGTGGGGGATTGCTGGTGGGTGGAGTGGAGGGACCAATTTGTCCATGGTTAAGTTATCCATAGTGCCAGTAGGGAGTGAACAAAATGAGGGAAAAAAACGAAGGAAAAAAAAATGGGAAAGGCGTCTTGAAATTCTGACCCAATAGTCATGTTTTTATTTTTCTTTTTTTTTATAAGAAGGAAACAAAAAAAAAAATGGAGAGGAAGAGAAAGGAGGGGGTGCCTAATGGCATGTGGGATTTTTAATTATTTTTTAGGTTTTAGGTAGGAATTTACTAACGAATAGGAGTAGCCCATCTCATATCTGTATGCAATGTATATTTTCCACAAGTACCCAGCATTTTTGTAATATTATGCATTTATGAACATGATGAAGTAAGATGTTTTACTCAAGCCCCCCTCTCTCTCTCTCTCTCTCTCTCTCTCTCTCTCTCTCTCTCTCTCTCTCTAGCTAGCACCACACTTGTTCAAAATTAGATGAAAAAATGGTTATAGCTTAATGTACTTGAAAATAATCCAAAGACTTATTAACATTATGTGGTGTGGTACTAATGGATATTTAGTGGCTCAAAGTGGAATTTTCTTCAAGATACAATGATTTCATAAGGCACTACTAACAAGTAATGCATTCGTTTTTTCAAGGTCTAGGCCTGGGAAAGGAGAAGGGAGATTGTATTTGATTGTATAATTTGCATCGTCTAACTGCCATATAAGATATTTCTTGGCTTCTTTTCCTTACTTAAAGAAAAGACTCACTTTCCAATACATAGTTATCTTCAAAACTTATTTACTCAGAACTTTTTTTAACATGGGTGCTATAGAGTTGAGAAATACGAAAATCCATGTACATTTTAATCCTTCGAAGTATCTTCATATGAGCTTTGGGATGCTCTCTTTGGGAGATTGACCATAAAGTACATGCAAAAATCTTCTACCACGATGGGTGCCTCTCAATCATTTTATGTGTTAGTTATAAATTTCATAAGTGCCACAATTAGTATGAATGAATAGTTTGGATGGATGAAACACCGAATGAAAAACAATCCGTGCAAATTAGAATACCATCGATTTACTTTGGTACGGCGAATTATCATAGAGGGTTTCCTCTCTCATCATCGAAGCTCGTTCATTTAGAAGATAATTGATACATATAGTCAGTAGAAGAAATGATACTTACATATAAAGTCTTGTTATTAAGTGATATGTATAATTAGTGGTACAAGTGATACATCGCTTGGGCGTGCACAAGTGAGGCTGCATATATGTCCAGAAGGTAAGGCCGTCCAGGCCTCCCTTTTTGGCGCGCATTGGATTTCTATATGCACTTTACCTCTGCCCTTCAATTCTGTGAGCCGGTTTTGCTGACTCTCTAGAACTGGTTCTTAACTTATCACTGATAAAAAAAAAATAAAGTCTCATTAATAAGTGCCCTTTTGGGACGGACTATATACAAAATAAATAAAAATCAAAAGGTCTCTAGAGAACTAGTTAAGGTAATAAAACATAGCAAGAACACTTTGAATGGTACTTGGAAGACATACCTACATCAAATGGAAAATATATACATTTCATGAAACAATTTCAACAAAGCTTAATGAGTACCTAATTACTCTTTGACATTTTCCTCGCATTGAATAGATCTAATATATATAGTTAGATAATGAATGTGAGTGAAAAGTGCAAATATCATGTACATAGACATTGCATTTGACTTTTCACTAGAGCTCAAAGTGAAGATACAAGAATTCATATACGATAGCTGCACCTAAATTGATTGAGATTGAGCACCGAGCAATGTTTCGATTTAATTGGCTCATGATAATTGAGACCATGTTCACAAAAATTTCTACTAGGTCCCGTGTCAAGATAGAGGCAATGATCTTCATAAATGAATTTCCAACGAAACAACATGCGTCTCTGCAAGTATTGGACCTTTCTATTCCATTCGGGCATGGACCATGTCACGAAAAAAGGTACTTATCTAGGGTTTTGCTCCTCAATCTATCTTTTAAGATATCAAAATGTTGTTTAACTCTTCAATCAGGGCAACAAGCTCCATTGGAAACTAATGAAGTTTATACACTTCCACCTTCTTTCCAACTATGTCAATCAAGAGCTTGGAGAGTCTTGTCTCCTGCTTAGTGTAATCAAGCCTATAGAATCTACGAGTGCATGTGTACGACACATTTCAAATGTATACGTGTGAATCACGTATATGTTCCTCGGTACGACGATAATTTTGAAAGGAGATACAGGACATCGATGAACATCTTGCGTTATAAATAAGAGGTGAGTTTTGTTTGGTTACTTAGCTTTAAATTTGGCTAACCAAGATGCCCGTGTCAAGAGCTATTGATATTCTCTCTGTAAAAGATTTTCAAGGGTCATCTCGACTCTCATGCCTACTAGTACATAGTTGATATAGACCATATACATGTCAATACAATCATATATATCTTGATTTTTTCCCATTCTAAAACTAAAGAGTTTGCCATGTAGTTACTCCAGAGGGACTTGTCGTTACAAACCAGCAGGCCATTTTAGCATGACCACGATAGATGTGGGTAGCGTCGACAGCGAAAGGAGGTGTTTACGTTTCCATGAAAACTGAAAAGTGAATTATAGAAATGGTCCATCCCATGCCATATTCCTATTTTTAAGATAATTTGGACCAGTCCTTGGTCCCTCCCATACACTCCATTAAGAGTGGACTGTGTCAGTTGACTAACTATAAATCAGATCCTGTGAGATTTCAATGTCACAGACATGTTGATATTCATTATAAAATGAAAAAAGAAGGAAAAAAAACCACACTTGAGAGAGCAATTGAATTGGCTGTATGTAGTTTCGAAATTTTACATAATTCTTTTCTTGTAATTTCTTCTTTTTCTTATCATAAATTTGAAGCATCCTCTCTCCTCATTTATGCCAGTTTCCAATTCGCCATTTTGCACATAAAATAGCTATCTGTCGTGTTATACTAACCTATTAAACTCGGAAATATATGTTCGCAACGCGAAAATATTATGTGTATACAATGTAGTTGTCTTACATGTGATGCGGTTGATATAATCACAATGTAGAAATACTTTGAAAAGAATGGTTGCTTTTATAGGATTCACTGTGGATATCATTGTTTCTCGAGATATTGTTTACCTTAATTTAATTTAACAAACAAAGGGATTAATCACTCTTCTAAACATTGTGTTAACTAGTTAACTTTATTGTCAATCGGAGCGGTCCAATCACTTTGTTGGGTGGAATTAGGAGGCAGTTGTTTCTTACTTTGCCTTTCTGCAATGGAAAAAAGCTTTTGTTTCTTCTTTGCCTATTATAATGTAAACAAAAGCAGTAACGAGCTTCCTTTCTACGAGAATTGGGACCCCTAAATATATGGGATAACTACACACGGTGCAATTACCTCCTTAAGATATGAGCATATCATCACTGTTAGAATAATTAAATATTAAACCACGTCATCATCTAATAACTTAAACTTTTAGAATAGTTGGCAGTGGTTATACCAAAATCTCACGTAATATCATAGCTGAAAGTCCTGAGTTCAAATCTTTCCAGGCCCTTTTTATCTCTCCAATTAAATATGTCAACGCTTAGTACTAGGCAAAAAAGACCATACTAAATGTGAGGGGGAGGGTTAGAATAATTAAACATTAAACCACGCATATATTCATCTAATAGTTTAACCTTTTAAAACAGTTGGCAGTGGTTACACCAAAATCTCACAATCACTACCACTAGCTTAATGGATTGTCCATATCTATTTTCCACCTTTTCTCTTGCCACCGAGCCTCGTCCGTGATCCCTCTACCCAATGTCATGGCCCAACTCCGATTCATGACATTTGGTATGACCCTGTATCTGGTGTCGCCGGAGATTGGGACGCCGTTTCGCAGCCTAGTCTGTCCTAGATTGGCATGCAGTGGGCGGCACAACAATGGTGATAGAGGCTTAGAGTTCATGGCAAAGTAGAGACGGCCCGGAGGGGGTAGAGTGAGGGGGGAAAGTGTATGGGGAAATTTAGGCTTTTTAATGTATTTTTCTCTACAAGAGAGGGTAATTCGGCCATCTGTGGGTAATTGTGCATTTAACCCCTTAAGTTTAAAGGATCTAAATTCTTTCTCTAATTTTAACATACCTTTGTGCATTTCGAAAGTTGTTTTTGAAAGCAGAAATAAACTGAGATCAATATTTTGAGTTTCAAGTGCAAACATGGCATGCATATATGATAGCTAATGAGTGCGAATCAAACTTTTCTACATGCAACATAGATTATTATGAATCATAGACAACCACATACTAAAAACACTAACATTTCCCAAGGCATGAAATGTTCTTTGGAAGCAAAAGAAGGTGACTGCAATCCACCATGCAACGCATCTTTTTTAAATAAATATGTCTCCCATCTTTTTATGGGATTTGGGGGCTTTGGTATGTGTAGTTTATAGTAAGCAGTGTCATTGAGAGTAACCAACCTCTCCTTTATAGCACTAGCTTTTTGGGATCTTCTCATGCTCTTATTATTACTAGTGTTTATTGTTTCACTTATTTAATTATTTGTTTGCCTTGATGGTCCCCAGGAGGAAGCATGTGGCTAGGGTAATTCCGCTTTTTGATCTTGTGTGTTTAACTGTGTTCTCTTGCTTTTGTTAAAGGAATCAAAGCATGCCCACGAAGCCCATGTGATGGAAGATCTCATCTATAATTACAGTATGGACACATTGCTGATTTCTTGATTATCTTTCTTCACTTTTGAAGTCCCATGACATTGTTTTGGTTAGGGTTTTGAGGTGGGTTTTTCTTTTCTCTCTCTTCATGCATGATCTCTTTGGAGGGGGGGACAAATCCTGATGCACTGATGGAGATGATTGTTCTGGGTGTGTTCATTCCCTTTTATTTTCTTGATGAACGTGATGGGTGAACCCATGAACCAAAAAAGAAAGCCATAATTATTATGCTAATCTTGGAGTTCTGGCATTCCTGACTATTAATAATTGAATCAAGGGTTTGTCACATAATTAAGGGCATCAGAAGGGGCATAATTTACCTCTCAGGACCACCTCAAATCCCATATAACAAGGCAATATTTTTAAAGCCCTTTTGGTTATTACACTATGATATAATGCACTTCTCCGTAATAAACAAGATCCATGTCCTCATCTTATAGTCCATAGTTTAATAATATATTTGCTGTGCAAACAGAGGATTTCCTTCGTTTGTGCTTTGTCTTGAGCAAGCCTCCTCATTAACATCCATGCATTGTCCCCCCAAGGTCAGTAAACGACAAAAATCAACATTCCAATGTAGTCGATATTTAAGAAGAGAAGGCACCTTTAAATAAAAGTAACAATGAGGAAGGAAGATGAGGCTATGTAAAGCAAAATATGCATACCATGTTCATTTTATTCATGCTTTCTCTATCCGCAAAGAGAAAGGGAGATGAAAACATGTGAGTATTGAAATAGATTCTGAAAAGTAACCTTTAAAATCCCACTCAAGAAACAAGCACCTATTTTGGGAAATTTAAAGATTCTGCCAATCATGTAGGGAGAGCTACAGACTTGCAATCTTAGTTGCAGAAATGAGATATAAAGGTTCTGCACACCATCAAAGAAAATTTTCTGAAATTTTAACTAAAAATAATTAGTTCTATTTTGCTTCATTCTTTTTAAATATAACGTAAATTTCACGTATTTTTTTGCAACTCAATCTAGAGCCCTACTTTGTAATTAGTTCCCAGTACTCGACACAAAGGTTCCGTCGGGTCGGGAAACTCGATAAGCCCGACTAGGGCCAATAGATCTTGGTGGTGGCCAGCTCACAAAATTTGGGTTAATTAATGTATGAAACCATATGGTTGGAAGGAGAGTCGCTTATATAGTAGAAATGCAGTCATATTTAATCACAAAATGTCCCCAAGAGTAGCACAAACGCCAAAGAGATTGAGCTGGCTAATTGTCTGTCCTTGATTAATGCTACCTTGTCGGGGTGTCATAGAACAATGTCCAAGGACTCGCCTTTTCTCTTCTTCTTTTTTCAAAAAATTTATTTTTTTAAAATTTTTGTATGATTGGCCATTTCATGCTCAAATGAGTGAGCCATCTTCATTGTTGGTATTGGCCAAATGGCACTTCTCTCTCTGTGCCTCTGTACACATCTCGGTGTTGTTCAGTCCTCTGATCTTTACCTGCCCATGTCATTTCTTTCAATGAGATCTAAGATTGATCATTCAACTTTTACGATGACAAACTATCAATTTTGACAGATGTGAGCTTCCTTGTTTCATCATCCTCTCAGTGCATCACAGATACTTGGAGTTAACCCTGCTTTTTCCCCTTTATTTTCTCCAAGTGACAAGACGGCAAATTCAACTCCCTGCATATTACATTTTTTGTGAAATTACTTAAGTGTCCCCAGCGTTTCCAGGAAAGAGATGGTACTTACCTGCCTGTCCAAGCTGTTGTTTTTTTGGGTCAGAGCCTGTCCAAGCTGTTGACACATCAAATTTGTGTACTAACACATTCAAGCCAAAGTAGCAAGTAAGGCATCTATGTTGACAGAGTAGAACTTAAATGGGGAAGATTGATTGCACCTCCAACATGTATACAGTGACCAAATAGGAAGAAAAGGTGGGCAAACATTCTCTCGTTGAAGAAGGGCTCTCTTAATCAATACAAGTAAAAGATATAAATGTTGAATGTTATCATCACAGATTACATTACAAGTTACAAAATGCAGGATTTTTTCCCCACATGAAGACAACACTAGCATTAGTTACCCCTCAATTTCCTTTCCATGGGAATTGAAATTCTGGAGAAAAGTGGACCTAAATTGAGGATCATAAAGACTAGGAGCTAGCACAATAACAAGTAACAACCCAACTCTCTCTCTCTCTCTCTCTCTCTCTCTCTCTCTCTCTCTCTCTCTCTCTATAAAAATAGGCATGATCACATGGCAGCATCAATCATGAAAAGATGCTAATGAGACAGGGGCTGGGGTGATTTGGTGGAGCCACATAAATGCACCAATTCATTCGTAGGCTTCCCATCCAGCAGTCTCACTTTGGGTGATAAAATAAAGAGGCACCGCTCCAAATCATCAACCTCCATTTATTTATTTTATTAGATGAACAAAAACAAACAAACAAAGCGAAAATCTCAAATGAATTCACAGTTCAAGTTGTCTCAATACATTAAAAATTTCTGCTGTACAGTATACACTGTAACTAGGAATGACACCAAGGTGGGCTTTGTTGGTGATTCCAGAGACAGTGGCACCTGTGCAGTCCTCTCTTTATGGTCTCGCAAAAAGTTTTTGGAAAATTACCTTTGAAAAGGATGGCAGAAAACCAAACCCCGATTGATGTTTAGCATAATAGTTTCTATGTATACGACAAGATGAAAATACAGAGAACAACACTTGAACACTATTTTGATAATCAGAGAGTATATGTCTTCATATGCTCCTATATCCCACTGGTCTTTTTATTTTTTCTGAACCAATCTTAGTTAGGCAAGTCCATGTCAGTACAGCAAGGTGACAACCATACTAAGGACATATTAAATTGGCTTCGTGACATCACAAGGTTGAAAAACAACTCGATCGTTACTAGTTCTGTTTGCATATGGTTGTGATTACCGGGGGTACAGGGATGCTTGTCGCAAGAAGTTATGCCGTAGAACAGTCGAAAGAGACGACTTGTTAGTTTGTTTGGTCCGGCTCGCATTGACAGGAAGGAGTCCAAAATCTACACAATCTAAACGGTAGATCTCAGATTACAACAGATAAGCAATTGAAATTGAACTCCATCAGCAGCAAAAAGTCATCATCATATGTGGAATCAACTAAGGAGGTGCCTTGACCAAAATAAACACGGTTGGTAATTTGCTGCTTTGTATTGCCAGAGATTTCCCACAAAACAGAAGGTAAGAAAGCCGTACTTTTTCTCGTGGTTAATCAAACTGATAAGCGAATTCCGAATTTGATCATAAGAGAATTTGAGCAAGAACGTTAGATCCTTCTTTGCACACTACTGTAATAAACTTCCAGAAGTTGCTGCTCATGCCCCTCATTTTCAGGGATTAGGATCCCCAAATGTAATAGATCGACCCTCTACAATCATTGGGCCTGGACTCTAGGGCCCAGTTAAAAAATATCAGCTAATTTCTTTTACCTTCTCTTTTGTTCTTTGGGCCAGTCTCTTTCCTTCTATTTAGTGACCGACTTTGGATGTTTTCCTCAATCAAGAACTTGTCTCAATCCTTCTTTGGTCTCTGACCACAGTGCTGTCCAATCAGTGGTTTCCGATGAGGACTGAATGTGCATCTCAGGAAGCGCAAATCTCATGTTGAAGTTTGCTTCATCATGGACTAGTCCGTTAGGCCAAGTCATTTAGAATTAATTTCTTATGAATTTTTGTAGATGGTCTACCTTTGAAAGATCGAGATGATTGACGGATTCACTTAGTCTGGTACGCAAAAACCAATTTGCGACAAGCTCCATTGCTGTGGAAAGATTTAAACTGGTAGATCACATGCCCAGTGAGCTTATTACAAGCTCCATAGGAATATGCGGTTATGCAATGAAAGCCTTACTCTCTTTAGCCTGAAGAAAGCTACAGTCAGTAGAAATGCATCTGATTACACTATTAGCAACATGACATGCACTTGGTTGACTGATCGGCTCTGTAATGAACACGACTCGACAAGATTCAGAATGAGTTAATTATCTTGCTTGACGCTAACTCGAGGCTGGGATATCATCTTGATTTCTCATCTTCTTGTCTAGACTATAAAGAGATGCAGTTGCATTTAGTCTAATAGGAATCATGTTGCTTTGGCAGCTTCTTCCTGTTTTACACCATAGTTCTGGATGACGCATTTAGGGATCGAAATCTGATTGCCAAGTGATTGCAAAGAGTTGGCTTCATAGTTACCATTTTCATATTCCTCACTATGTCTGCATAGAAATTCAAGAGCACAATTAATCAGGTGTTACAAATTGCAGCTTTAGCTTATGCTAGACCAAAACAGAGTAGCATTGCTAGGTTTGATTTGAACAAGGGCACATCGATCAAGCTAAGATTTTGCTATGCAGTTCCTAAGCACGTCTGAAAGGTAATGACTTGGCACTTCACAAGTGTCTGCAGACTACAGTAGTCATAAATAAGTTTCCAAGCAATAGAAAGAACAACCGATGATAAATACTGCAAAACACAAGCTTATCTTTGAAGACCAATCCTTTGAAGTCCTCATATGAACATTTGAAACTAGAGTTTGCAAAATAAAACTGAAAGCAATCAGGCAAAACCTCAGATCCTGTTTCTAAGCAACTGCTCAAAGGTAAATGACAAGGAATCGATCTATGAATCTAAGTTTAAATGAAGAAAGAAGACATATTCATGTGCTTTCTTCGACTAATCTAGATGCTATGATCTGTAGAAACTAATTTTTTCAACTCCATCAAATGTTCATCATTTGATATGTGGAGTGAAAGACGAAGGTTAGTCACCAGCGCTTCCTGTTCCCAACTCAAAGGTCCCGAAGCATGCAATGCCTCCATTGTGCAACGGTAAGCTTGCAACTCCAATCTATGTATTTCAGCTTCCAGGTTTTCTTTTGACAAAAGGAGATTACTCTTTTCCTCATTCTCCCTGTGACAAGTGGATTGAGCATCACCAGTACAACTACCGACTGAGCATTCATCGCCATCGTCGTGACTGGATTCTGTGTGGGATGCAAAAGAACGACCATCCGCATCAGTTGATTTAATCCTCTTCGCATCCACTTCAGTAAAACCACTGATTCTTCTCCTTAAAAAAGACAGTGAGGTTTCTTGATCCAATGTGTCTCTTCGGATGGAAGCCGCATTAATCTGCTTCAATAATGTAGGCGTATTTGCAGCAGTTACATTTGGGAATCTTCCTTCTTTATCTGTAACTTTACAACTCATGAAAGCTCTAGAAGGTGCTTCTGCTACAGAAGAGCCATTCAAGCATGGTCTTTTAATAGATATATGTCTATCAACACGATAATCCTGCAAATTTATGCCGTTTTCAGCAGTAGAAAGATTATTTTTCTGAGACAGCTTCCGCTTTGCACGTTCCTTTTTAACTGGGAGGTTGGGATTCTTGTCACACTTCAACAAAGGCATTTCCTTACATTTTCCTTCACAGAAAATTGCAGAATCCTGAACATAGAAACAATGTTGAAAGTGAGACAAAAACAAATTCAAAGCAAGTGTTCATATCTATAATTCAACTGGCTTGCATTGTCCCATTGGTCATCTGTAAACAAGTGTTCACACCTCTAATTCAACTGGTTTGCATTGTCCCATTGTAGTAAACACGCATCAGTATTCACATTATGACTAGCTTATGACAGGATTCTAGTTTACAGTTAACTCAGAGATTTGACTGCAGACAGTCCATATGACTTCGTTAATCTATACCAGAAGAAAGAAACTTCAGGTATTCTATGTAGAGACCTTGCTGATAGTAATTGTTAACTACCAAAAACATGAACATGACAGGGGAAAACCGACTAAACCAAGTGCAGCACATGCAAGCAATTGAAAGTTTCACACAGATACCTTCGCAGATCAAATGAAGATATCATGTAATTAAACATAAGTGAACCTTCAATGGTTTACCTGTCTGATTAATGTCCATGAACCATCTTGCCAAGACTGTCTAGCCCGAATGTCAGAACTCGTAACTTTTAACTGCTGAAAGGCTCCCAGCAACCTAACCAGATAGTAGTTTTTTCCCAAAGCCCTTGAAACTGTAGCCACTTTCCAAGAGAAACTATTGAACACCTCGACAACATCACCGGGAACCCAATTGCCCGAAATATCCAGCAAAGGCGGGCAAGGCCTAATGGCCTTACTCGATACCCTCTCCAGGGTATTTTTTACTGTGGCACCCTTGTAATTATAATACCGGACCATGTAGTTGCAGCCATTGCCAGATATTATCTCTGCACTTCGCCAGGAGCCAGTTGGAAGCTCCTTTATGTTCATTACCTCCACTCTAGTGCCTTTCTTATATCCCATCTTGACAACCATAACTGTAGTCTATAGCTCGTCAGATGCCACGCCTGAGAAGCTAGGGTTGACCAACATAAGAATCAAAATAGAAGAGGACAAACATCAGCCTCTTACACTTAAGGACATGAATTCATAAGGAAGTAGAGCTTAGGAAAAGCATGCATCTTATAAAAGCAAAAGCATTAACATTCACAAGATAATATAATGTTCCAGACTCCAAGACCAGAAGGCATCAGAAGAGGAACAAGATTAAAGAGCAGGACACATGACATTAAGAGGACCTATCCAGAGAGTCCTCTCACGCAAAGGATACACAAACGCTAAGATTGCAAGCATCAAGATGAGATCAAATCTGGAAAAAAAACAAAAACTTGCAATGCATAAAACTGTACGGGGACAGAAAGACTGGATGTAACGTCAAACAATCGAGATTATGACAAATTCAAGGCAGTGTCTCAGCTTCACCCATCTTTTATTTCCTTTGCCCGACAATCAAACAGAGCATCTAAATGGAAAAACTCACAAGAAGCATCTCCATGTAACCACGAAAAGGACAAGAAGCTTTTACATATCTAAGCAGAGAAATTTCCATTAGCAGTATATTTTCTCAGAGCCCCTGTTTGGTTGGAATTCAAGCAAAGAGAGAGAATCCCACTTTGAAAAGTCATGACTTTGCAGATGTTGGGAAAGAGAAACAACTCAATCGAGCAAAATATGACTGCGCCGCTTGATGGGCCTGTTTACCAATCCAAATGCCAACTAAAAATTTATTCAAGTCATGATCAAATACTTCATTGTTCCCCTCTGCTGTCACAGCAACAAAACCAGAGTCAAAGAAATTTGGGCAAATCCTCAAATCCTCAACTTTCACGTCAAAGGATCAAACTTTAAGCAATAATCCACCAAAACAAATAGAAAACACATTGATGAGAAGCCTTAGAAACACGAACAGGAGATCAAACGAAAGGCAATGAACCTTCAAGATGATATGGTTTAAAGGAGCTGCAAGATGGGTTGAATTTGACTGACCTCTTCCGCTCGATGCTGAAGGTTCAACTATGCAGGAAACTTCTTGATGCTGCTCTAATGGGGGGCTTGTATGAATGAATGTTTTGATGTGGTGATGAGAATGAGTTCCCACTGTTGATGGGATGTTTTGTTTTCTTTTTCACAGAAAACACATAAAGATTGCCCCCTCAAACAAGTTGCACTTGGAGGTCATTTTGTCCCCACAAGTGAAAATATAGGATTCATGGGACATGGGTAATTTGTTTTAGGGAAGGGTTTGGTAGCATGAGATGTGTAAATAAAAGGATAAATGCATTGGAACTCGCCGATTTTTTACATAAAGTGCTTTTTCATTTTTCGCATATTGGTAATTTGTCAAATATGATCCGCACCGGCACCACCACGTAAGCACTGACTAGACTAGTCAGGATTACATGGTAAATTTTTTTAACCAAGTGCTTCATATGGATAAGAAAAAAAAGGAAAGTACGAAAAAATTCAAAAAACCCTAGCCGCCATCAACATTCATGCGCCGCCATTGGGAAGGAAGGGCTAGGGGCGGGCAAGGGTAGCCGCATTGTTGCAACACCGAGGCATGGTGAGGACTGTCGAATGCTTGCCGACCACTACCCTGCGACCACTACTACCTCCGCTTAAGCCCACACGGGGGCGAGGGGCTAGCCAGGCATGACTCCAACAAGGCGATATCAAGGGTCTTGTTGTTGATTGTGAGCCAAACCTGGCCTAGGTCGCCCGACCCAAGTCACATCTCCTTATTTTGGTTCGAGTTTCCTTTTTTCTAAAATTTTTCAACAATTATTTTGTTTTTGCAATATTCTTCATTTTTTATTTTCTTTTTTCTTTTACTTTTTGCAATGCCACATAGGACAGTACGTAAGATTTGAATGACAATTTGATTGGCAACATCAATATTTCCGTTTATAATTTTAACAGAAGAACCAACTCGAATAAAAGAACATACAATTTGAGGACTCAATTGCATGGAAAGAAGTTCGAGGACCTAATTCAACAATTTTAAAAATAGTTTAGGGACCTCTTGTACCTTTCTCCCAAAATGAAATTGTTACGTCTTTAGTAAGAACAATTTGAACTGAGAAATGGTGGATAGTTTCTCAACTTTTATTCAATATTCATTGTCGTCATTGATTTTTATTTTCTTTTCACTTAGTCCCTAAACTTTTAGATTTTCGCTCAATTTTAATTCTTTAGTTAAGTGAAGCATCATATCATGTGTGTCTCGGTTGATCCGGTGGTGCGCCACCTGATAAAGGGAAAAATAAATAGTTCTAGGGTTTTTTGCAAAGATAAAAGGGACAAAAGGAAGAAAAAGGAGTTAGAGGAAGCTCTTCCCACAATTAAAGGGTCACTGCCAACCTGCAAATGTGATCTTTCTGAGGTATTCCCCTCTCTCTCACCTTTTTCTCTTTCCCTTGTTACCACGAAATTGATCGTTTTTTTAAGACAAATTAATGTTGTAAACTATGGCAAAGAATCCTTGTAGAAGTCAAAAAGTCTCGACTTGCCACTTTCCTTACTTGGCAGCCTACCATAGAGATGCCCCAAAATTGAAAGGAAAAAGAAATAGTTCATTGTAATATGTCAAACCCATAAAGCATAAGTATTAGATGACTAATTTAGGTATCTCTTTTCCAATTAAGGTTAGGGACACACATTAAGAGATAATTTTTTATTTTTAATTATGTGATTGACGTGGTATGACCAATCAAATGCTTTTTTTGATTAATATGTAGTTTTAACCAATTTTTGCATTTTGGAATATTCAAGCTCTCTGTAATAACTACCTTCTCGTTGGGGCTGAGATGGTGCAAAATTTAGTGAGGAAGGTAGAATAAGTACAAGGCGACAAAAGGCGTAGTGTTGGTCCCATCACACCATTTAGGGATAATCTATATTAAGGTGGGTAAGTTCCTAACGTAAAATCAGAAAGCGATCTGATCACCCGTTGTTCCAAAAAATTGAAACCAGAAATCGAATCGGTCAGTTCCAAAACCAAATCGGTCCTAGGTGGGTTTCCAATTTCAACTAGACCTGGTGCTCACCTCCAGCTCGACTCCTTAGCATCCCCGAGTCTGCCATCGCCCTCACACATTAATAATACATAAATAGTTTTTCCATGGAAAGTGTTTCCATTATTCAAAGATCTGTAAATTTTGTTACAAAATAGTAAAGAAAATAGCTTTTCGCACGCGAAGTCAAAAGATCTGTGCAATTGGGTTTACAAAATGGAGAGAAAAAAACTTGTAATTTCTATGAATTGATCACATAGGTCCACGTGTCATTTTCATAGCAGTAGGGAACAATACTTTTCCATGAGAACTGGTCCCTTGAGCAAGTTTTTAATACTTTTTTTTCTTTTTTCTCGTTTGACCAAGAAGCATTCAACACGGGCACTATCAATTTATTGTCCATAAACATTGGAAGATTAGGATGAGTGATATGGTTATAACAAACTTCAATTTGGAACTATCTTTGGCACATAATTTAGATGTTTAGGTATCGAATTCATTAGGGATTGGTAAAGAATATTACTTGCGTATATGCTTGGGCGACTCTTCTGAATGTTGTTGCTTCGAGGGTTCTCTAAAGAGCAAGTTTTGGGAAAGACCTAATTTCAGCTGTTCATCCAAAGAAAAGAAAAGAAAAGAAAAGAGAAAAAAAAAGGGGGAGGGGGGGGGGGGGGGTGTTGTGGTTCCGAAATTATGGAGTTAATATATGAAAAGAAAAGGGTATTTTTTGTGATAACTTTGAAAGATTGGGCTAAATTTGAAAATGGAAAAAAGATCATTCAAAGTTTTAGGATTTTTTATGAGACTGCTCTTTTTATCCATTTGAGGGACGGATCTACAATCCTCAATGAAAGTTAACTAATCATGCGCCTCCACATGGCCGGCTATCATACTCGAATTTGGCTAGAGTCGACGGTAGGAAGAATACCGTAAGAAATTCCGATATATCGGATAGGATATTACATATATTAAGATATCAAGGGTTTAATTGGCCCACTTAATACGGAAAAAAGAAAAACAGATTTGCCCAACCCAAAATCCAGGGGCAAAATGCAATTTGCCCAAATCAAGTGGAACATTTTTTCTCCTCTAAACTCGATGCGATATTACTACCATTGGCGGACCTGAGGGCAAGTGGCGGCCTCCGCCCCGAGCCCCCTCGAGGTCCATTAGTTTGTTAGCCTTATTAGGTAGAATTATTTTCAAAGAAAATTTATATATGTGGTATTCAACTATAGTTTCGTCTCACCCGCCCTCCCTTAACTTTAGTCGGTCATTGTGATCGGTGGGGACGAGAGGATGTAGGAAAGGAAAGAGGGAGAGAGAGAGAGAAGAGAGAGAGAGGGGGGAGGGGGCGGGGTGACTTACGACTTGTGTGTGATAGATTAGTTAGTTCATTCTTATCGAGCAAATAGAAGAAACGATTAATTCTTTCGAGAGTTTTTTTCATTTTTGGTCTACCTTTCGCGAGTTCACCATCACGGGTAATCCGGCGTTCTTTCTCTTTCCTTTTTTTACTATGAAAAGAATTCATCTAAATCCATAAATTCCCGACCGATGAAATATCCGCTAACTTCAGAGACCCGCAAAACAATATCATCCCAAGAGCCTAGCCATGTAGTTCATCTTTGTGAGCCACTCATTTGTGTCGGCAGGACGCTTTGGGGACCCTTTTAATCTCCAAAACCTTGGAGCCTCGAAATGGGACATGATGGGATTCGTGGGAAGAATTAGGTTTAAACGGGGCTCCTATCCTAGGAAGAATAAAAAAGGCATTAAGACATGATGGATTTATACGTGGAGTGTTCGAGTTGTACACAGCGCTTCTTTTGACGTACGGGGCGTGGCAAAAACCGAAGGCTCGAGCTCCGACGTAAGAGTTCTACATCTCTCACGTCTCTCGTCGATTCTTCTTCGATGCTTCGCCCTGTTTATACAGAAACAGATCTGGCAGCTCTATCGTTTCCCGGAAGGGCGATTTGCTTCGGAGTCACGGCCACGTTTCCCACGTTTGTTAATGAGTAGAAGACTTATCAACAGGAGACCTAGCAAAACCATGTTTTATCAGAAAGAGACGGGGCAAAACCATGAGGTTATACACGATTGAGTACGAGTCGAATCCGTGTTCTAACAATCAATCATATTAAAAACTTTTTATTATAATTTCTATCTGTAGTTTAGTTGAGAATTCGATATGAGAATGCCTTTTTTTCACTGACTTTGACCCCAAATCGCACGCCGAGAGGCAATGATATACGATGAGTTCAAGTTTTGTCCGCGTTTAAATTCTTAAACCGTACCGATTATCAATCTGGTGGACCCGTTACGCAGAGGGAGGGTTAATCTAAGATGGTATGAGCCACAGTGTTGCATTCGAACTTGAACACGACTAGGCTTTTGCGGTTCGCTCGGACCCAGTCTAGTCAAGTTTTTCCCTAATAATCTTCTTTAGTATCATCACTCACTCTTACGCAGAGGAAGGCTAAAAGGACCGGTTTTACTGATCGGTCGGACATTAGATCTATCCAGATTAAAGTTCCAATAGATTATTTCGTGTGTATTGAATCCAGTACGTTATTTTCTATTGAATTAAAACAAGATTCATAACCATGACCGCGACCCTTAATCCCAAGTTAGATGTCTGAAAATTTACTAACCCTAGCTTGCTAATTCTATTTACTCTTCTTTCTCTGTATCAGAAAAAAAGAAGCTGCTTAACGGCTAAAAGGAAGTGATACCAAATGAAAAAAAATGGCAATTTGGGTGCATTGTGTCAGAATTAGAAGCCATTTATACTCTAATTCTTCCATCCAAGGTATATCACCCACATATTCACTTTTTTTCTTTTCCAAGAAAGAGAAAAGAAGCAAACTGAATTGCACATGGCCATATTTCTGTATCCTTATCAATGAGAGCAAAGCCAGAGAGTAAGAGCACAGAGTAAAAGAACAAGCGGGATGAGGTGAACAGCTTTCTCTCCTGGCGACTTGCGGTGAGCACCACTTTCCTTCTTGGCTGAATCGGATGAGGGATGACGAAACAGCGGCAAGTCATTGGCGGACGAATTCCTCAGCGACGAGAGGGCCGTCGATGCCGGCAACAAGTTGACCAAGAACTCATCGAAGTCCCTCGACCCGCTCGACAGTCTCTGCATCCTTCGGGAGATTTGAAGAACAAGGGAACCCCGGAACTTAGTTTGAAACCCTACCAACTTTCTGAAAATCACCAGACTTTTATAGATGACAGAGGCATAGGACTCGAGGCAATTTGGCAATGTTAAGCTTCGGGAAAGCCTGAAGTAGAGGAGACGGGTGATGTAGCTTTAACGTGAAAAAAGCATTTTGGAGGAGAAAATGTGAGGCTTGACATGTGAAAATGTTGTGGGCTAAGCTAACCATCGATTTACGGTGAGAGTAATGAGGGTGTCAGCGTATGTTGGAAGCTGCTTCCAGAGTAATTAAGGCATGCATGTGCTTGTCATACATTAACTTCGACAGATAAAAAAAGCCTCCATAGATTAAGCATAATTTATTTGGACCTAACCTTGGGATTGCAACTGAGCAGAAGATGCTTGATCCAATTTTATCTGACCTCTCTCTCTCTAACAAGAGAGATCAGAACTAATACAACGTGCTCGTCGAAAACTTGAACTGTCTCAGGCAAATATGTCTCCCATTTTAAGCCATCTCCCATGAAGCTCCTTAGCAGTGACAAGGTTTAAAAGATGAATCAGTGCCATCTTTTTCCTGATCAGTTTTAACATCTAAGCTACGAAATGGTAAGTCAAACATTTCTCAAACGTTCATTAAGTACTATTTTTATCAAATGGTTTCACATTCACAACTGAACAATTAATACATGAAATGCACACTTGAATAGAATTAAACATCTGTTCAAAACCCTCCTATATTTCAAGTTGATTGCTTGTGCAAATCTACCAGCTTCAGGGCGTAAGTCTAACCCATGGATCATCTACCAGATTTCTAGTCCCGTCAGGCAAAGCTAACAATTACCTAAGTATCAAACAATCACCTAAGTATCAATGACACCGGCATGACACGACACGACACGCTAATACGTCATTTCTCAAAAAATTGATAATTCTAACACGTTAAAACACATCATATATTAAATGTATATTTTTATATATACATGATAAATTATCATTTTTATAATTATTTCTATCAAATTAATTTGATTCAAATCCACTAAATAAATAAATAATTAAAAAAAAACATAGAATGAATTTACACTAAAAACATTGCATATGACAAAAGGATATATATAGTTTCGATAAATTTACATTTTGACCCCTGATTTATTGAAAAAGTTTTAAATTGACCTCGTGCGTGTCGGAACGACGTACTGGGATGCTAGACTCACGTGTCGCTAGCGTACTCGGAGCATTAACCAAGTGTCGGAGCGTGTCCGACACCAACGTGGAAGCCCCCAAAGAGTGTCCGTGCTTCCTAGATAATCACACCCCTATAATATATTGACCTCCTATGGCATCCGTTTATTACAGAAGTCAATCTGCGCTTCACCACTCGCGACACCATCATATCAATTACCAATGTATCATGGCTGCAAATTTTGCCACAGAATTAAGATCAACTAGCTAAACTAGCACATGTAGTTGGCAGTAGACTCTACTTGGTAGTGAATGCATGCAGTTTAAAATATTGCTCAGCATGAAGATATTAGCTTGCAGAGGAATAAAAGATCTACAGCACATTTATAGTTGTTTCCTTGGAGCAACAACCCTATTTACAGATTCCAGAAGAAGAAAATCATTGGAATTCTAGTAGGAGCATCCTTTCTCCCAAAACAATCGTACATCATTTAATTAAAGAGTTACAACAGTATGACTTAGAATATTGAGTGTCAAAAAAACAGCAAAAACCTCCAAAGAGAGCTTGTCAACCCAGAACCTGAGGACCTGTGCTCCAAAACACAGTAGGTTGCGTGATCCCGAAACTCAGGCTCTGGAAAACCATAAGCAAACAAATATTTTAGGGATGGCAGAGGTCATAGTAGATCAGAACAAGATCAGGCACCAACAGCCTTCTCGAATGAATGGAAGTGCTCAGAGTACATACCTGCAGTTAAAGCTGAACCCAAATAATCGTTTTGGAACTTTCATTGTCTCATTCAACATAAAACAATTTTCTGAAAGGCTGAAGCAGATCGCCAGTGGGTTGCTTGATTCTGCCATCCAGCTCAACCTCCATTAATCGATGATTGTCCTTTGAACGGGTCATAGCAAACGAAACATCAACATCATTCCCTTCAGAAACTACAATGGCGGGCCCTAATAGGAAGATCTGCGCATGCAAAAGTACATGAGAAAGGGATGGTATGATCCAAGAATTAAATAATCAAGACAAAGTTGAAAATGATCATGTGGCAGTTCTCATATATCATCTAACAGAGGCAAAACCTTGGGAAAACCATATTCAAGCATCTACGCAATGGATGCCAAAGCTCTCATAAAATGGCAAAAAGCTTGGAGAGAAGAACCGTTATGGCTTAATTTAATACTTTGCCTATGCACATTCAAGATGTTAAATTTGCCATTTACTGAGACATTAGTAGCCGACCCACTGAGTGGGCTAAGGCTTAGTTTGTTGTTATTCTGCACATATTTGCCAGAGGAATACAACCTGCTGTCCCCAATGAGTGCCATTGTCCACACTAGGTGCTGTAGTTAACTCAATCTCTTTCTGAGCTGGATCTTCCATTCTTCCCTGGGGGGTAACCAAAACAGGGAAGTTAGTCTTAGCTCATTCATAAATGTCAGGGATGCACAAGTACCATCTTACCCGGAAATGGACATCAAACCATCCACTAAAACCACAAAGCCTCGTATTACATTTGATTATTGATGAGAAATTTGATCTAACTTCTGCAATATCATTTACAGTGGCAGTCAAACAGTCTATCTCCTTTACAGTGGCCGCTGTCCCTATAACTTGATTCGGATGAAGGTTGTTCCACAAGGAAGTCTGCATAATTTAAATTTCTTTTCAATAGGCAAGACCAATATTATTTTAAATAAGTGTGCACAAGGACAGAAACATGTTGACATTCTTTATACAACAATAACAGAACAGTAAAATAAAGAATTTGGCATCAGGATACACTTTAATCACTGAGTTCCAGGCAACAACAAACGCCAGCAAACAAGGCAATCAGTTTTAATAACAATCATGATCCATTTCTCTATGAAAATGACCCATCTAGTGACATAAGTATGCGAGATTTGTATTCAGTATATGTCAGAAGAATGAATATCATTAGAACAATGTTCTATTATCAATACTGATAAGTGTTCACCTGATGTGGGAGCATCACATTCTATGGAATAACTTTCAAGCCCAACTCAGTTTTCACCGATTGATCCAACCCAATCATCACTCATGCAAGAAAAATTTGACCACAACTTGATTTGATGGGTCCAAGGTTGGAGATGTCAAATCTCAGGTAGATGTCAAATCACAAGACTAGCTGTCGATTTCGAGGCTGCTGATCCACTACCAAGTGACTGCTGGTCAATTCCTATGGTTGTTTGTCAATCATCCAAGGTGGTTGTTCGACTTCCCAAATTGGTGGACAAATTGGGAGAGTCAAGTCCTAGTTACTATGCATCTTTATAGCGTGGTCAGTTTCCATGAATCATAATGTGTCTATATAACTGTCCCAGAGTTATTATTGTCTGCTAGATCCCACGAGTCATTTACGTTTGTTTAGTCCCTAAACAAAGTTTCTCTATAAATAGAGGAGTCATTTCACATGTAGAGGCAGACTTGAATTTGACATATACATGAGATTTTCCTCAAGTGAGCGACTTTCTATTTTCGGTTCTTTATCCAATCCCTTTGGTGGTGGTGAACTAAAAGTTATTTATCCTTGATTGATGGCATGTTCCTTTATGCCTAGGTGGTGAAATTCATCTATCCCAACCTTATTTTCACACATACATGCTCCATTAAACCCTTCTATTAACCATTTCCAGTAAACACTCTTCCATATAAGTAGCATGGAAGACACGTTTAATAATCTCTCATTCCCATCACGCATCATCACCAAGCTGGAAAAGTGGATGAATTACTCAAAACGCTATACAAAGCAGAGTGAATAAAAGGGAGGAGAGGGTTGAGTTTTATGCACAATAGATGTCCTTGGAAATACAAAGTACTAGTCATGCTCGCATGGAGGCAGACAGAATATGCATGTGATTGCATGTATACATGAAACAAACACATTGGATGATGTATTTAACGCATGCATAGTATTGCATGCTGTAGCACATGACCTCCCTATTGAATTCATTTATGAGTGGATCTTCTTAGTGTACATCCTAGTCTATAGCGCATGAATAAACTATGGGGTATAGCTATGATTGGACTCAGAACATGCTAAAGAGGAAAGATGTGACATCCAAAGGTACACGATTACTAGGACACACCTGGAGATACCATTTTTTCTGCTCTTCGGCAAATGGTTTGGTCAAGATACTCATATCGACACCATAACAAGTCCTAGTATCGTCCAGAAAACAGTGCCAGTCATCCATGGATCCTTCGTAGTCATTCAATTTTTGATCCACCAACCCAGACCTGATAGGAGCCATCCACATTCGAGCATGACTAGGATACCTGCCAAAAGGGGAATATTTGCTCAGACAAAGCAACATCTATAGTCATCTTTGTAAAAAAACTATACTAAAGCCCAAGGTTGTCAAATATTCACCAAATGCAGAACCCCTATCTGACCATGCATGACAAATGACAAGGACAGTGCTACTACAGTTTATCACCCAGTTTTAATCCTTTTCTTTTCTCAAAGAAATCTAGTATCGAGTACTTAATATTGTGCCCATCTTTTATTTTCTGCCTATTCTTTCTGGTGCACGTTAAAACAATCAATAATTATGAGAGAGAGTGGTGGTAGCGCCCTGGCTCTGCCACTGCAAGAGGATGGAAGCATACAAAGCACTCTTCTTTAATGATTCATAGCACATGCAGCAAAGAACTGCACATATACAACATGAACATGCAGCGGGTGCACGAAGCAATGTGCGGAAGTGGACAGCAAAATGCAGTGTGTGGAAGCAGAAAGCACCGTGAATTTTTCCAAAACCAGTTGGACAAAGCCCTCAAATACAACCATACATTTTGGGTTGAGTTCTTTTGTACTTGTAAGAACTCAAACCAATAACAGATAGGCACAGACATAAATGTAACATCCCAAAATCAAAAGAAGACCTAAAGCAAGTAAAGCAAAGGCATCTGACAAGATGCATTTCAGTTTATATGAGGCTAGTTCTCCGAAATGAAGGTCATAAACCAGACAAAACTAGGAATGCCAGACTGTTGGTTACATATGTGGTTTCTGCAATTCCAACCAGGGCAAAAGTGTAAAAAACTCAGATGATGAAAGGGCAGAGAGCACAACAGCCTAGCTCTGACTACTACTACTACCGAACAAGGGAAATGCACTTTGAATGCAAGTCAAGCAATTTAACTACAAACCATTGGGATTTACCTAAATAACTTACATGACTCCAGTTGGCTTCAGCCAGCGGTCACGTGCACAAATCACTGAATCAAACATAGATTCACGCAGAAGGAAGTATCCCATCCATTCTGATATGATCACATCAACTGCCATCAAAGGGTTTTCATACTGTTATTAGGGATAACTAGGCATACCATATATTTAATTCGGGCTTAAGATACAAGGTGTGAAAAACCAAGTATGAAGTCATGTGATGCAAAGCTCTAACCTTTCTCAGGGAGACTAACATCCTCCATTGAACCCTCAATCACTTCGACGACGTCTTGAAGGTTATTTGCTTTTACAAGAGCTCGGGCATGCTCTGACATCTTTGTCGCCTCAACTGCATAAACCTTCCTTGCACCAGCTTGTGCTGACCATATTGCAAGAATACCACTTCCTGTTCCTACATCCAGCACAGCCTTCTCGACAAATTCATCAAGTCAGTGCTTATTCCAACATTAAAAAAACAAAAAAAGGGAACTTCATATGTTTTCCAGTGCTGTTGCAGCTCATGATGAGAAGTAAGAACTTCAACACTCATAAACTCTGCCCCCAAGGACAAGAAGAAACCCAAACAATCAAAATGTCATTATTTCATCTCAACAGTGTGAACAAACTCTTTCTTGCATATGCTTAATTGTACTCTCAGACACATCAGAACTTGAAAGCACCGCCAAAAGCTTCACTTGACAGCAAACTATGAACTCACTTCTTGCTTAACTAAGCAAACAATACCGCAGCAAAAGAAAACTAAAGCTTCAAGCTTTCATCCACTAGTCATCCACCGGATTCAAAAACATTAAAAAAAAAAAAAAAAGACTCGACTTGACCCGACCCACAACACAACTCAACCCAAACAGCCAAAAACCCAAACAAGAACGGGGCTAAAGCGGAGACATTTCCAAGACAGAAGCCGGAAAAGGCCGCACCTTTCCGAGGAAATGGTGCCTGTTCTGGAAGATGGCGCTGTAGTAAGCGTCCATGCGGACGCGATCGGAGAGCATCTCCTTCTGGTGGTAGAGGAAGGCGTAGGTGCAGAAGTAGTTGGCGAAGTCGACGCCCTTGTCCACCGCCACGGGGCCGCCGCCGTGGGGGGGGCCCGTACGGTCGCCGGCGGCGGGGCCATTCCCGAAGCTGCCCATGGCGCTCGGAGGAGCAGAGGTCGAGCTGAGGCTTTTTCGGGACGGGTTTTAGGGCAACGTCGCTGCGATTGCGGTGGCGGTGCGACGCTGTCTGCCCCCCCACTCGTGCAGTTAATGTTCCACTTTCCTTTTCTTTTCACTTTTTTCTTTTGGACGGTATTTTTTTTTTGGTCGGATTTTTGGACGATATATTTCAAACTTTTTTTACCACTAGTTACCTATTTATTTTTGGGAAAATAACACGAGTAATCCCTGAACTTTGGCTCAGCGTGTAATGTGATCTCTAAAATTTTAATTTGTTCAATGTGGTCCGTGAAATTTAACTCAATTTGCAGTGAAGTCCCTGAATTTTTAGTTTGTTCAATATATATCCATGAACTTTTGGTACATGTTCAATGTAGTCTTCGAACTATATGAATATATTTAATGTAGATAATTCATGGACTATATTGAACATGTATAAAAAGTCTAAGGACCACATCCAACATTAGGCTGAAGTTCAGGGACCATATTGAACAAATTAATAATTCAGGGACTACATTGAATATTGAGCTAAAGTTAATGGGCCATTTGTGTTATTATCCCTTTATTTTTCCAAAAAAATTATTAAAAAGCGCCCACAAAAGAATATACTGAGTAACTAAATAAGAAAAAGGGTTTCTAAAAATATTTAAGTTGTTTTGTGCTATACATAATCAATGCCAAAAGAATCATTTTTCGTGGGTTTATCCCGGGGTAACAATTAAAATTAGCATTTTGGAAAGAGGCAAATCAATTGGTTTATTCAAAGGATATTAGAGAAGCATATAATCAAAGGAAAAATTACCAAAACAGTCATAAACTTATTGCAATTGAACAAATTTAGTCCTAAACGTTTTTTTTTGTGCCAATTTAGTCCTAAACCTTTTACATTTGTGCCAATTCAGTCCATCCGGCCAGCACTGATGTGGACGCCGATCGGCTAGCGAATCCTGACGTGGCAATTTTTAAAATATTTTTTTCGAATTTTTTTATTAATTTTTTTCTTTTTTTTTACTTCATCTTCTTCAACCTCTAGCCGGTTGCCGGACCGACCGACCAGAGGCTGGGCCAGTGGGGTCGGCTTCACCGACCGCTAGCGAGGCCGACCTCGCCTAGCAACAGCGAGGTCGGCCTTGCCAGCCGGTCGCTTCAAGCAAAGTCAACCTCGCTAGCGACGGCAAGGTCGGGCGACCGTCCTCGCCATCGCTGGCGAGGGCTCGACCTCGCCATCAACTGGCGAGGTCAGCCTCGCTCGAAGCGACTGGCGAGGACGAGACCTCGCCGGCCGCTGGCGAGGACGAGACCTCGCTAGCCGCTAGCGAGGTTAGCCTCGTCGTTGCTAGGCGAGGCCGACCTCACCGGCCTCAGCCTTTGGCCGATCGCCGATCCGGCAACCGGCTAGAGGTTGAAGAAGACGAAGGAAAAAAAAAGGAAAAAAATTAATAAAAAAATTCGAAAAAATAGAATATATATTTTTAAAATTGCCACGTCAGCGTTCGCCAATCAGTCGGCGTCCACGTCAGCGCCGGCCGGCCAAAATTAGCTGGATGGACTAAATTGGCATAAATACAAAAGGTTTAGAACTGAATTGGCATAAAAAAAGGTTTAGAACCGTTTTGGTAATTTTCCCTATAATCAAACATAGATGTGATTTTCGTCGAGTAACAAGTTCATTCTAGTTTTCAATTTATTCGGTCTTATTTTTGTACTTTTGATTTGCCAATAAAAAGTATATACTTCTCCCATCGAAATGACCATCCCATTAAAAAAAATAACAAAATATGCCAAGGGAGCACTGGTCCAATTCCAACCCAGACCGAACCGACCGGTTTTGGGCGATTCCCACCAGAACCAGTCTGATTCCAATTTTTTAAAACCAATAATGTTCGATCAGTTCCTGGTTTTAGACCGAGGACCGACTTATCCGAGAACCAATCTCCCATAATTATTTCTTACTATTCTGTCATCCTACTTGATTCTAAATTTTTTTAAAATAAAATATATTATCTCCGAAAAATTGTCAAAAAAGTCATGAATTTATTGTACAATGGCCAATTCAGTCCTAAACCTTTCAATTATGCCATTTAAGTTTTAAACATTTTGATGATTTTCCAATTTAATTCTAAACCTTTAATGATTTGCCAATTTTGGCCAGAACTCGCTGACGTGATGGTTTAATTAATGCCGAACGTCCTACATGGCACAACGAAAGCTGACGTGGACAATATTTGCAATTTGTTTTTAATTTTATGATTTCTTTTCTTTTCTTTTTCTTTTTTCCCTTTTCCCTTTTTCCCTCCGCTAGCCTCGGGGCAAGGGCAACCCTCGCCTGAGGCCCGCAAGGGAAAAAGGAAAAAAGAAAAAGAACAAAAAGGAAAGGAAAAAATTCAGAAAATTAAAAAAAATTGCAAATTATCCACGTTAGCGTCAGCCGTGCCACATGAATGGCCGACGCTAACTAGATCGCCACGTTAGGGATTTCGGATTTAAATTGATTGAAAGAACTAAATTAGCAAATTGTTAAAAGTTTAGGACAAAATTGACAAATCATCGAAAGGTTCATGACTAAAAAGTTTAGGACTTAATCGGCAAGTTGTCAAAAGGTTTATGACTAAATTGGTACAATTGAAAAGTTTATGATTGAATTAGCCACCGTTCAATAGGTTTATGACTTTCGGTACAATTCATGGTTGATAGTAGCAATCATGTATAGGTAAACTTGGAGGAGATGAAGAGAATATGTTTGAACTTCCTTCCTAGAGTTTACGAGGAATGCTCCACTAAAAGGCTTTATTTTTGTTTTGCCGAAAATGAATGATTTGACAATATTTTTCTAAAAATGATCACTTGTATTAATTGAAATAATTAATCAATGAAAAATATTTGTATTATCTACAATAATTTATCTCTAACCGTTTTCGTGGATAATGGAAATATTTTTCTTTCATTTATTTTTGTAATCCATAAACTTTTGGTACATATTCAATGTAATCCCCAAACTATATGAATATATTCAATGTAAATAATTCATGGACTACATTGAATATGTATAAAAAGTTTAAGGACCACATCCAATATTAGGCTAAAGTTCATGAATCACATTGAACAGATTAATAATTCCGGGATTATATTGCATATTGGGCCAAAGTTAAAGGACCATTTGTGTTATTATCCATTTATTTTTTCAAAAAAATTATTATAAAGCACCCGCAAAAGAATATACTGAGTAACTAATTTTTTTTTTTGCTCGGTTCCTGAGTAACTAATTAAGAAAAAGGGTTTCTAAAGTTCGAATTAATTACTTAATCAATGCCAAAAGAATCATTTTTCGTGGGCTTATCCAGAGGTAACGATTAAAATTAGTATTTTGGAAAAAGGCAAATCAATTGGTTTATTCAAAGGACATTGGAGAAGCATATAGTCAAACATAGATGCGAGTTTAGAGGTATTAAAACCGAACCGAAAAATCGAACCGAACCGAAAATTTTGTGCATTTCGGTTCGGTTTCAGTTTCGGTTCGGATAATCAAAATTAACCAACTTTTTTTTTTCAATTCGGTTTATTTCGGTTCGGATCGAACCGAACTGAAATAAACACTTCGGTTTTTACCCTAAAAGCCTTTTGCTTTTAGCTTTAGGGCTATCTCGCCCTCGCTACATTTGCCACTGCTCGTTAGCAGAGTCTCTGAATTCGACATCGCACTGCCTCTGTTGAGGCAAAGAGTAAAGGCAATTACAAGTCCTGGTGATCGATACCTGTCGGAGAAAGCCAAGCAGATCAGGACCACCAGCGGGAAAGCTCAACCTTTCAACAACAACCCCCAACCCCACAACCAAAAAAAAAAAGAAAAAAGAGGGAGGGGGTTGCAACGAGAACGCACCGGATCGCTGGTGAAGAGGTCCAGGGAAGCCGAAAGTGACGAGCGTCTGGTTCAAGTACCGAGCGCAGCGCTCCAAGTTTCCGGCATTGGCGAACGCGTGCTCCCTGCACCGAGAGCCACCATAAAGAACAAAAGGAGGTGAAAAAAAAACAAGCCCATCAACGCTCGTGACGCATGGAGGCAAAAAGATGCAGCAGGGGTGGCGGAGGGGAGGGATGGAGGTACCCGGCGGAGAAGGCGGAGTGGGGCGATGGCTGCCGAGAGAAATGCAGAGAGAGAGGAAGGAAAGGGGGGGTTAGAAAGAGAAAGAAGAGGGAAAGTGGAAATGGAGGAGAGGGGGGGTGGGTTTACTCTGAGATCGAACTAGGTGTCAATGGCCACCATTGCTGAAGGTGAGAGCAGCTCCGACGGAGAGGAGAGGAGAGAGAGAGTCTCTTTCAGAATAGATTTGCAAAGGAAAAAGGAAGTTTGAAAAAAAAAACTGAGCCATGAATAAAAAGCAAAAAAAAGAAGAAGAAGAAGAAGAAATCGAAAACTGATCCGAAACAAATCGATTTTTCGGTTCGGTTCGGTTCCAATTTGATTCGAGCGAGTTTCGGTTCGGTTCAAGGGGGCATCTTTAATGGTTCGATTCGGTTCGGTTTTCTTGAAAAACCGAATCAAACTGAACACGGTTAGATGTGACTTTTGTCGAGGAAAAAGTTCGTTCTAGTTTTCGATTTATTCGATCTTATTTTTGTACTTTTGATTTGCCAATAAAAAATATATTCTTCTCCTATCGAAATGATCATCCCATTAAAAAAAATAACAAAATCTGCAGGAAGAGCACTAGTCCGATTCCAACCCAACCGAACCAACAGGTTTTAGGCGGTTCTTGGAACCAATCTAATTCCAATTTTTTGGAACCAATAATGCTCGGTCCATTTCCCGATTCTAGATCGAGGACCAATCCATCCGGGAACCGATCTTCCCCAATTATTTCTTACTATTGTGTTATCCTACTTGATTCTAAAAATTTTGAAAATAAAATATAAATATATTATCTCGGGAAAATTATCCAAAAAGTCATGAACTTATTGTACAACGGCTAATTCAATCATAAACCTTTCAATTATACCAATTAAATTTTAAACATTTTGATGATTTTTCAATTTAGTCTTAAACCTTTAACAATTTGCCAATTTTGGCCAAAACTAGTTGACGTGGTGGTCTAGTTAGTGTCGGCCGCCTTACATGGCACAGCCGAAGCTAACGTGAACAATGTTTGCAATTTTTTAATTTTATGATTTTTTTTCTCTTTTTCTTTTTTCCATTTTCTCTTTTTCCCTCCACTAGCCTCAAGCGAGGGTTCCGCTGGCCTCGAGGCAAGGGCAACCCCCACTTGAGGCTTGCAAGGGGGGCCCTTGCTTCCCTAGGCGTGGGTGTCCCTTGCCTAAGGCTGGTGAGGATGGCCCTCGCATGAGGCCGGCGGAGGGAAAAAGGAAAAAAGAAAAAAGGAAAAGAAAAAAATCAAAAAAATTACAAATTGTCCACATTAGCGTCAGCTGTGCTACATAAGATGGCTGGCGCTGACTAGACCGTCACATTAGATGGCCGGTGCTAACTAGACCGCCACGTCTATGATTTCTGATCTGAATTGGCCTAAAGAACTAAATTAGCAAATTGTTAAAGGTTTAAGATCAAATTGGCAAATTATCAAAAGGTTTAGGATTAAATTTGCATAATTGAAAAGTTTAGGATTAAATTGGCAAGTTGTCAAAAGGTTTAAGATTAAATTGGCATAATTGAAATGGTTAGGACTGATGTAACTACTGTAGAATAGATTTATGACTTTTTAGATACTTTTCCAATATTATCTCCCATTCATGGTTGATAGTAAAATCATGTATAGGGGAACTTGTAGGAGATGCAGAGAATATGTTTGAACTTCCTTCCTAGAGTTTACGAGAAATGCTTTATTGAAAGGCTTCATTTTTGTTTCACCGAAAATGAATGATTTAAAAAAAAATTTCTAAAAATGATCGCTTATATTAATTGGAATAATTAGTCAATGAAAAATATTTTTATTATCTACAATAATTTATCTCTAAACGTTTTCGTGGACAATGAAATTTTTTTTCTTTCATTCATTTTTGTAATAATATAAGCAATCGTTTTTAGAAAAATATTTTTTCTAAATCATTCATTTTTCGCTAAATAAACGAAACTTAAGTTTTAAGAATTTTCTTTTAAAGAAAATCAAAATTTAGCTTGTGCATCTCATAATTTTTTTACTGAACTAAGTGGAGATTTTTTCTAAGATTCTTTATACTATTGTGAGTAAATTAACATCTTCAAGTTGTTCTCTATAAATAGATGACACATTTATCAACCTCCATATGTTTCGCACAAAATGAATGATTTGGAATACATTTTCCTAAAAACGATTACTTGTCGCGTGTACAAAAATGAATGAACGAAAAATATTTTCATCGTCTACAAAAATGTTTAGAAATAAATTGTTATTGATAATAGAAACTTTTTTCATTGACTGATTAATTCAATTAGTACAAGTGATCATTTTTAGGAAAATATTTTTTCAAATTATTTATTTTCCGCGAAACAAATAAAACTTTAGGGTGCATTTGTTTGACCGAAAACTTCATGATAAAGAACAATATTGTCCATAGAAATCATTTTCAAGAAATATTTGTTAATTTTCATTGTTTGACGGTTTACGAAAAGCGGTGTTTTTCTTCCAAGAAGGGGAAATCGTTTTTTCATAATCTAAACTTGTTGCTTTCAGTTCATGAAAAACGATTTCCGTAAATCGAACAGTTTTTCGTCATCCAAAAATCGAAAAATAATTTTTCAAAAATAATTTCTTTCAAACAAACGAACAACGATCCATATCTCGTTTTGATCGCAGAAGACCTTAACAATTGGTATCAATCTTTCTTTTCTCGTCCCATCCTTCATTTCCACTGTCAAACGCCTTTGGTGGGCAAGTTAGTGTCAATCGCCATTGGTACAAGCCCAGCGATCCCTCTTTCTCATTTGACTTTTTCGACCCTTGAGACTTCTCTTGGTTAACCTTGCAGTTGACCACAGGGATGAGGACAAGAAAAAGGAAATGACATTTTGACTTTCATCATCATTTTTTTTACAAAAAAAATTGTGACATTTCTAAAAAATATTTTATGAAAAGTCATTTTTCCAAAGAAGTCAGAATGAAAATGACAATATTTTTCAGTGTTTGTCTGAGAGTTGAAAATAAAATAGAAAATATTTTTCGTTGTTTAGTAAGGAGTGATTTTCATAAATATATATTACACTATTTGAACGTTATTGACTTACGCATGGGTAGTCAAGGAACTCGATATGCGAAACCCAGTCCCCTGCGCTTGGAGCCTGCTCCTCCAAGGCCAGGCCTCGCTTGTCGGCACCTAAGCCCGAGCCCCACATTATTGGACTGAGATGCGGGCGTAGGGGATCTGGGCATGGGCATGAGTACGGGAGTCCCGTGCCTGGCCTCGATGGACCTAGGCTCAGAAGTCGGGGACCCGTGCGTGGTTGCATGGGTCTAGGACCGGTCATTGATGGGACCTGGGCACGAGTGTCGAGTGCCCTGGGTCTTTGGGCGCGACCTAGATGGACCTAGGTCAGGGTACTAGGGTCCCGTGTCTAAGCGCGAGGGACTCGGCCTCGCTGCCAAGGGCCTGAGAACGAGCATTCGGGTTCCTGTGCCCAATTGTAGAGTTTTTGGTCCGAGTTGATACTTAGTCATGTTTTGGAAAATGATTTCCGATTTTTTGAAATGAAATCTTTTTTTTTAATTTAAGTTTTGTTAGGAAAACATTTTCCGTTGGCTCATTTTTTCAGTGATCCAAACACTGAAAAATAAGGAAAATGTTATTCGGGAAATAAATTGAGCCTTTGACTCTATTTGTTTCGCGAAAAATAAATGTTTATAAAAATGATCGATTATATCGCTTATACAAATCAATTAACGAGAAACATTTTCATTGTCCACGAAAATATCAGACATAAATTGTTATCGATAATAAGAATATTTTTTATTGATTGATTATTTCAATCAATATAAGTGATCATTTTTAGGAAAATATTTTTCCAATCATTCATTTTCTGTGAAACAAATAGAACCTTTGCAACGAATCAAGAAAGAAACACAAGAAACAAGAAAATATGTACTTAAAAGCTTCACAAATCTCATAAAAAGACTTAGAAGCCATTAGATATAGAAGATCGGGGGTGAAAAAGGAGGGCAAGGCGGGGCGGGGCCATAGCACAAGGTCGGCCATATCCATCCTCGTCCCGCCCCACGAAGCTCGGGAAAGTTTTTCCCGTTGCCCCTCCAAAATTTAATGATCGCGAGTAAAGGCAAGTGGGTAGGGCGGGGCGGGGTGCAAGGTCGGGCATATCCATCCCCGTCCCGACCCCACTCGAGGCCCAAGAAAGTTTTTTCCGTTGCCCCTCCAAAAATTGTGGATTGCGGACTTTGCCCACCCTATTCAAGGGATTGGGGGTGAGGCCGGATAGTATTAGGTCCGGAATTCGATTCTTGTGAGTACTGCATATACATGTACATAGAAGGGATGAGTCATGTTAAAAAAAGAAAACTTGGATGAATTTGCCTCTCTACTAACAAAACTTCTCGAGTCTACATAATATGAATAAGGTACGGTACTCTCATGTCCCTTCTTATACTAGTTTTCAATTTCGTGACTGCCTACTGACTGGTTATTTTTTCTTTTTATACTATTCTCACGTCATTTGTGAGTAGTTGGTGGTTGCGAATTCGGCACTGATCTCGTGACCCAAGTGATTGTTTGTTCATCTCATTAGTATTAGTTGGCCTAATTCCAAAATACAAAACGTCAAAACCCCAACAACGCTTGTTTTTATGTACAAAACATGATTAAAAACTAATTACGCAAGTTAATCTCGGCGACTGAGTAAACGGACCAAGGTGTCGGTTTGGAATCAAGCGATAAAATTTCCAGATCAAGAACTCACGGATCCGCTTAACTTAATTAGTGGATATTATCATAAACTGATAATTAGTGTCGATGGTAACCTGCGACTGATCGCAAAATTGCAAGAAAGTATAAGCAGAGAAGTTAATGAACAGGTCAAACCCCAGGATTCGCAGTGGGTATCAGTCCCTTTCAAAAGACTGAATCACTTAATATATATTGAATGTGCTTTTCAGAAAAGTTGACTAATGTATATAAGCAGCGCGCCTTGGCTCGGTCAAGATTTTGAGGACAGAAACCTCAGTTAATACTCGTTGCTAACCATGATTAACTTCGAAGAAACGAGGAATGATTCAACCGAAAATCAGAGACTGAATTAACTAAGCAGGTGGCCATAAAGAAAGGAACAACCCCTCGGAAGTTATTGGCTATGAAACAATGGGCAACTCTACAAGTAGTCACTATCTAATATAAAGAAAGAAAGAGTAAGCTTGTGACCTTTCTTGGTGTTTTCTTCTGTCCATACACTGGTCAAACCTGAACATTTGGCAAAACCTGGAGATAAAAAGGGGTTTTCATCTGAGTTCAATGTTGGAAATTGTCAACCCGCCATTTCCAGGAGAATGTTTCGCTAACCTGTGGATTCACAATCCTGAAGCAGAGATGAAGTCTTGATGGAGGACAAGAAAGCAAACTGGATTGCTTGCTCGTCGGTTCTTGCTCTGATCGTCGTGATAGTCGTCGCCCGTGCGACTCTCCGACTTTCCAGGGCCTTTTACCTCATCCTCGGCGTGGATGTGGCGTTGATCCTGTCGGTCTTCGTCTGGCTCGCGGTAAGGAGGCACTACAACCGCCGGCGGATACTGCTCGAGTCACGCCTGGCCGAGGGCCGTGAGCTGAGGATCGAGTACAGTTTCCTCCGCAAAGTCGCCGGGGTCCCGACCAAGTTCCGGTACAAGGAGATCGAGGAAGCGACCGACGGCTTCCAGGCCCTGCTGGGCCAGGGCGCTTCTGCGGCGGTCTTCAAAGGGATCTTGAGCGATGGCACGGCTGTGGCGGTCAAACGCATTGACGGCCAGGAGCATGGCGAGAGGGAGTTCCGCTCGGAAGTCTCTGCGATTGCGAGCGTGCAGCATGTAAACCTCGTGCGCCTGATCGGCTATTGCTGCGTCCCTGCTGGGCCACGCTTCTTGATCTACGAGTTCGTCCAGAACGGCTCGCTGGATTGCTGGATTTTCCCCAAGTCGGGGCGGCGGAGCCGGCTTGGAGGCTGCTTGTCGTGGAACCAGAGGTGTCGGGTGGCTCTCGACGTGGCCAAGGCGCTTTCGTACCTCCACCATGATTGCCGATCTCGCATCCTACACCTCGATGTCAAGCCTGAGAACATACTCATCGATGAGAATTACCGGGCTGTTGTCACTGATTTCGGCCTATCAAAACTGATGGGGAAAGACGAAAGCCGGGTCATCACTACAATTAGAGGGACAAGAGGGTACTTGGCCCCGGAGTGGCTATTGGAGCACGGAATCTCCGAGAAGTCAGACATCTATAGCTACGGGATGGTCCTCCTCGAGATGATTGGAGGGCAAAGGAACGTGTGCTTGATTGGGAACGGGAACGCCCGGTCAGGGAGGAAGTGGCAGTACTTCCCCAAGATTGTGGCCGAGAAATTGAAAGAAGGGAGGCTCATGGAGGTGGTCGATCGCCGGCTGTTGGAAGACGGGGGTATCGACGAGCGGGAAGTGAGGAGGCTGGTTTTCGTGGCCTTGTGGTGCATCCAGGAGAGGGCGAGACTCAGGCCGAGCATGGCCCGGGTGGTCGAGATGCTCGAGGGCCGCGTGGCGGTCGACGAGCCCCCCGACACGGCGATGATTGTGGTCGACCTCTTATCGGTCGATGAGGAGGACCGAGACGATCCGAATTGCCCTAAAGTTGCTACAGCACATACCGTGGGGTCTAATGTTCCTAGTTGCTCATATTCATTTGCATTGTCTGTTCTTTCTCCCAGATAGCTCCCACAAAATGTACCATCATCAAAGCAGGATGGGTTGCTTTTGGTTAGTACCCTTATTCTTTTGCCTCGTTCTGTCAATTATTATCAATCATTCAACTGCTAATCTCTTTCTCTGAAAAGATGAATCGAGGTTTCGATCTGAGCAATTGCCATTATCTGTATGCTTTCTGCAAAAGTTCTTGACAGCAAGAAAGCAAAAGTATGCAAACAAAAGAAACAAGGGAAAGATAATGTCCCTTCTTAGCAATTTGACAATTCCTGGTAATTCTAGATGAATTGACCAGGACCAGGAGAGTGGCTTTTCCAGGGAAGATATTTTTGGTTAAGTCATTTTCCAAGTTGCCTTCGCACTGGTCCTACAGAATTTGTGGTTCACGGCCACGGGCGTCTACAATGTACTCTCAGCTGTCAAAATTTAATACGGAGTGCTGGATCCGCGCAACTGTCTCGGCCTCTTGAAGCTCGTCCCCGAAACCGCGGCGCCGGTTCGACTCGGAAATACAGCCACTCTGGTCAGCGAATTGACGAGACGGTAAACATCTGATCGAATTTCCTATGAAACTGCTCTCGGGAATTCCTGAGACCGCAGCTGTCGTTTTTCGTGGATCTTAGGACGCGGTACTTGAGTTGACTTCGACGGCCCGTCTTCCGATCCTAGACCGTGTATTATACACCAGAAACTTGTAAAAATGTATTTCAAGTTTTTCTTATACAGTACTGATACAAAAAAAAAGGTGCTGCGGTAGAGCAAGTATAGTCCCCTCTGAGAACAAACTACGAAGGTACGCTCCTAAGCGATCACTCCACGAACAGATTAAAAGTAACATTCTTTCGGGCTTTCATAACTTCGCCGTAGAAGTGTTGCACTCGATGTAAGCATTCGATTTAGGCCATAACTATTGTCCGGACCATCTCCGCCCTAGAGAGATCCCTAGAGAATCGCTGCTTCGAGAAAGGTAATATCGTTACCGTAACCTCATCGACATCTTAGCACGAGAAATGCTCTTTCGCACAAGGATTGGCTTACGAGTCTTCTATACTTAAAACTCACGATGAGAGGCCATTTTCGCCGTTCTCGATTAAGTTTTATGGAAATGTAGAGGAAACTTGTTTCCCATATTTTCTCTTAGGGTTAATACCGCGAAAAATCCAAAACCGGTACGCCTATGATAATTTTACCCCAAACTAATTTTTTGACCACAAAAAACCCCAAACCGGTACATCTGTGACAAATTTACCCTCGGTTTATTTCCGTTAAACTTTACTGTCAAATTACTTTGTTAAATGACAAGCGGCAATTGACGGATGTACCAATTTTATGTTTTACCCTTCGTTTGTCATAGGCGTACCAGTTTATGATTTTTTGTGATATTTATTCAATTTAATGGAAACTAACGGAGGGTAAATTTGTCACAACTGTACCGGTTCGGGATTTTTGGTGATCTAAAAATTAGTTTGAGGTAAATTTATCACAGGTGTACCGATTTAGATTTTTTCGTGATCAAAATATTAATTTAAGATAAAATTATCATAAATATACTAATTTAAAGTTTTTCGTGGTATTAACTCGTTCTCTTATCCCGTGTGGCTTGAAAAGCTCTGCGTCGTCCACTCTATCAAATGAGTCCACTTTACTAAGTTCACAATAATTGGGAAAAAAAGTGTGTTGGACCCGCACTGATGAGTTTTGACTAAACTATTTTTCCTTTCCGTTTTTATTTTGTCGTGCATTTCACTGTTCCTGCAGTAACTAAATAGCACAGTGCACACTGATAGGAAGGTATATTAAATCTCGAAGAATAGTTTACGTCTTACCTCCCACATTACCTGAAAGGCGGAAACTATCTTTTAAAACAATGTTTCTATTGCTCGACTCGAGCGTTCAAAATTTTCACGACAATTCTCGAAAATTTTCACGACACATAGAGCTTAAAGAAGAACAAAAACCATTTTTAATACGAATTTTATTTAAACAAAATAAAAAAATAAGCTAATTTATTTTTATAAAAAAGGAGGGTGAGAGCTCGGCAGGGCCTCCCCACCATCACCGGGAAGGGCTGGCGATGGTGGGTCGGCAGCCCTCCCCTCGTGCCTGATTCTCACCCTCCTTTTTTTAAATTTAAAATAGCTTATATTTTTATTTTATTTAAATAAAATTTGTATTAAAAATCGGATTTGGATTAAAACGACGTCGTTTAAGTTACATCATTCCTTGCAGGATAGAAAAAATATTTTTAAAAAAAAGTCAGGTCGGTATTTTCCTTTAACCAAATTGGACGGAGTTAACGGAATGTCTCGATTGCATCAATTTGACAAATTTTGAAAAAACGAGCCATTGTCCAATCATGGCTAACTTCGATAGGGTCATTGCCAAGCCATCTCTCCCTTTTTTTATAGGGAGAACAATACAAATGGTCAATGAACTTTGACAAAATGTGTAACCTCGTTCTCGGACTTTTAATTTGTTCAGTATGATATCTAAACTTTAGGCTAATGTGCAATGTCGTCCCTGAATTTTAAATTTGTTCAAAGTGTTTTCTGAACTTTTGATACATGTTCAATTTAGTCCCTAAACTATATGAAAATGTTCAATACATCAGGAACGACATTGCGCATTGGCTTAAAAGTTCTGGGACTACATTAAACAAATAAAAAAGTTCGAGAGTGTCATTGCACATCGAATTAAAGTTTAGAGGACCATTTGTGTACTTATCTATTTTTTATTTCCTTTTTCATCAAAATTATTTGATACTGACAAAAATCATTTCAGTAATTTTTTACTCAGAACGAAACAGCCTATTGAGAATGATTTGTTACATGACAATAGGAGTGATCGGTTCCCGGGCGATCTAGTGGAATCGATCGTTTTAAGCTCTTCATTTTAATCGGCGTCATCAATAGTACTTTTGATTCCAGTCGTCAAGTGAAAAGATTTCATACATATTAGTTGGCCTCCGGAGCTTCACCACCCAAAAAAAGAAAAGGCAAGAATGTATTAGAACGGAAAGACCAATAAATATGAAATATCTATATTGTTGCTTTTGTTTTACATAATTTAGAATTGATGATAGAAACAGTCGAGCTAATGGGAAGCTCCTCTTCTACCCAGATGGGCACTCATTTGAGGCAATTGAGCTAAACTCAAAGTTCAAGACTGACAACTCTTCAAAAAAAAAAATAGAATAGAAAAAATCCAATTGATTATGTATTCAGTAAGAGACAAAATTAAGCAAAGAACATCGAGTTTCACTTGAAATAGGCCGATTAGAGAAGAGAGGAGGCATGAGCGTTGTAGGCAAATTTGAAAAGACCGAAATAGGAGAGCAAGATGAGGCGTGCGTGAGGGATTTTAGATTATTAGGTTTACATTTAAAAAAAAAAAAAAATCCGTTTGGGCGGTCCTGTTTGCTTCCCTCCTTGAAATCGAGAACCGGATTGCCCAAATACCGATTTCACTTTTGGGGACCTGGAACCGGACCAAACCTGCTGGTTTAATCTGGTCAGATGTTCCCGGTTCAATCGGTTCATCTTGCTCACCCTTACACAACGGTCTTAATCGTTTTGGATTTTTTTATTAAAAATGGGGAGATCTACCGTGAACAATTAAAGTTCACTATAGACAAATAATTTTCACAAATAGACTCATTTCACTCTTGATGAATATGATACAACACAAAATAAATCAAGTTACATATGATAACTCCACTTTACTCCATAAAGAAATTTATTTTTCTTTCCTAAAAGTGCGTTCGTTTTACGAAAAATAAGTGATTTAGAAAATTTTTTCTAAAAAATAATTGATTGTATTGCTTATAATAATAAATGAATGGAAAATTTTTTCATCATCCCCGAAAATAGCCGGATATAAATTGTTATTGATGATGAAATCATTTTCCGTTAATTAATTTTTCTAAACGATACAAGCAATCGTTTTTCATTCAAATCACCCATTTTTCGCAAAGCGAAGAGCATCCTAAAATTTACAAAAACTGTTTTTTAAGTTTTGATAAATGCAAGTTAAATTAAATTTCACGAACCCGATTCACCCCATCATCTCCCTCAGTAAAAGTTCTGAACGGGCCACTAACGACAAGAAAACGCATGAGCTCACATAAAATTAGGTGGAAGAGCAGAGGCGCAGAAGAGAGAGAAAGAAGAGAGAGAAAGTGCTGTGGCTCGCCCTCGCAATCTCCCACTGATCCATCATCATCCATCGAGGTACGCAGCGCCGGTGGCTGGACTCCAACCCTAGAATCTTGCTCGGTTCCTCCCCCTTTCGGCGCCGGGCGCCGTCGTGTTCTTCGCGGCGAGCTCGGGTTTTCGTTCGGGTCTCGCGGGGGGCGTTCGGGTTTGAATCGCCGTTTGTTGTTCCCTCGTGCTCGGGTTTTCGTTCGTGATGGTTCTGCGCATTGTGTTGTTTTTGATGTGCTGAGGCAATGTGGGGCGGGCGTTTTTTCTTTTTCTGGGTTCTGCGGAACGATGCGGGTGGCTTTTCCCGGCTCTTGATTTCGTGGGAATTTGAGTAATTTGGGAGTTCTTCGCTCTGCCCATTTTAGGGGGAACCCGAAATTTGTGAAAAGACTGAAACTTTTGATGACCCATTTTCGCTGCTCCCTTTCTTGATGGGTGTTTGTGGGATTGCCGTGTGTAGATTGCATTTGGGGTGTCCGAGTTTTGGTGCTTTCGAAGGTGTTGTTGTGAATCATGGAACAGTGTTATATGCAGTGTCGTCTCGAGTCGGCTTCTTGTGTGCATCATCCGTTCTCTCCTTGTCGAAGGATGACTTATGCAATTGACGCCCGCGTACTTTACGTAGTGAATTCGATGTGCTAGACTTGCGTCGTGTGTCGATGCAATAGTGTTGGCTAGCAGTTTAGTATGAACTGGTCGATATGCTCCGACACCAAGTTGTCTCTTTCATGCTGTTGATGTTTAAGCCTTACCTAGAGCGGGAATCAGCCGGTGTAGGATTTGAGCCTGCAATGTCTGTTGTCAGAGCTGGGTTCTGATGGAATATATAACTTTGATGTTTGTTTCTGTCAGGGTATCTGCTCTTACACCCGGTGCAGAAAATCTCGTTTGGTTTTTATCTCTAAGGAGCCAAATGAGCTTTTCAGGGTCTTCGATGGGTTCTGGTTTGTTTGGTCTTCCTTTTCCTTTTTCTCCTTGTTGTAAGTTGAGCAATTTCCTAGTGCACTTGATGCTGAAATCTATCAAAAGGTCCTTTATGATTTGGCTAAATTCTTTTAATGTTATATGTTGACATCAATATGCTATCTGTGGTTGTCGCTTTATTACAGGTGGGCAAACAGCTAGAAAGGCATTTAACTTTGGAAGGACATACGTGGTCAGGCCCAAAGGTAAACACCAAGCAACTGTTGTTTGGCTGCATGGCCTTGGTGATAATGGTTCAAGGTAATATTTGACATCAACATGGGCCTACCAAATGTAACTTTACTTATGAATCTGTTCGACAGCAAGTTTCTCTAATGACGACATTTTCAGTCTAGAAGGGTTTATCTGATATGCAATTATCACTCACCTCCACTTCCTGTCACAAGAAAATAGTTGTGTTGGTTCTTCATGTCAAGCACCGAGCTCGAGTTGTCTATTTCAAGTTTTTATCCGCACATATAACATGTAGCTTCTTAGTGGGTTGTCAAATACCTCTTACATTTGGATTATTGTAGATTTCTTGTTTACACTCTGATATTTTTTGGCAGCTGGTCGCAGCTGTTGGAGACCCTACCTCTTCCAAATGTAAGAAATAGACTTTATAGTGAAGGCACACTTTATTGCATGCTGTGTGGTTGTTTTCTTCTCCTTAGATGATTTCATAACTTTTCACTCTTGATATCTCAGATAAAATGGATATGCCCAACTTCCCCTACACGACCAGTCAGCATTTTTGGGGGCTTCCCTTCTACTGCTTGTACGTCCATTGCCTTGCAAGAAAGAGCCATAGCATCAGGAAGTAGAATTGTTTTATAAATAAAAACAGTTTATCTTTAATATAATCATGTATCTTAGGAGGAGGCAATAAACACCTTATCGTATAAAAACAATTAAGATGTCCTTGCTAAGGATTGTGAAAAAACTATAATTGTTATTCCTGGTTAGGATTTATATGCTTGTTTCAAAGAAGGTAAATTGAGACATGGCCTTTTGGAGAAGGTAGATTATGTTGACTATCATCGCTTATATACTAATACGATTTAATTCAGGGTTTGATGTTGGAGACCTTTCCGAGAATGCTGCTGATGATTTAGAGGGTTTGGATGCTACAGCTGCACATGTTGCAAATTTGTTGTCAACGGAACCAGCTGATAGTAAGTTTCGTAATGCTGATGTGATGGCAAAGCCTTTTCTGATGCCAATTTATATTGAAGAAGTCTTGGAAGGGGAAGCAATGACTCCTTGATGGAATAAGCTTTCCTTGAAGGATAAAAGAGTTTCCCTATCCCTTCTATTAGTTTTTAGCTCTTATTTTCTCAGTTCGTTAATTCAATAAGTGGTTTATGCATTTTGAAAAAGGAAAGAGAAATCCAGTAATTGTTACTTTCTTCACCTTTGGCAGTCAAACTTGGTGTTGGAGGCTTCAGCATGGGAGCAGCAACTGCCCTCTACTGTGCATCATGCTGTGCTTTGGGAAAATACGGGAATGGCAATCCTTACCCAGCCAAAATAAGTACAGTCGTTGGGCTCAGTGGCTGGCTCCCATGTTCAAAGTTTGGCTACTTTCATTATGTTTTGTCTTATCTGAATTGTTGGGGCCTTGGTGCTGAGATAACTAGTTCTTTTCTTCAACAGGACCTTGAAAAGCAAGTTAGAAGGGGAAAGTGAAGCTGTGACACGTGCTGCTTCATTGCCCATACTTCTCTGCCATGGCACAAGTATGGAAACTACCTTTGCATGAGAATGCACTATTCAATGTTTCCTTAATATATATCCTTCTGTGTTCAGCTGTATGACTAATCAATACTAAGCCATGGGAGCTCTCTTGTATGCCTGTTGTGTTGTGCTATGGAGTAGAATGACTTTTATAAACAGTTAGACGGCTCACTTAGTTTGATCCGTTCTCGGTATGTGGAACAATGAACGAGAGAAATGTAGATTTACAGTTATTATATCTTGTTTGCACACTGCCCATTTTCCTTTCTACATGTAGATCGAAGATTAATCCGTTCTGACCTGATGAGACGCTGATGCTTAGCTGTTAACTAGCTAGTTAATTGGTAACTCACATCTTTCTTACTCACCACGGCCACCTCATTCGATAAAAGCTTGCCAACCTTTCTTGTCATCTCAACCAATTTTCAAGTGATGGTAGCAGAAAAGCAGAGTTTAGTTTCCCAGGGTCTTAGTTTAGCTGCATGAATGATTTACAAACTTTACCATAACTTATAAAACTCAATTCTTTCTTTGACCATCTTTATCGTTCACTTTTTCACCTTGTGGCATCTGGTCTGAGCAGTCGCTCTGTGGCTTTTGTTTCCTGTTATTGCTATTCTTATTGTTACAAGGCTGACCATGCTTGTCATGTTTGTGACTTTACTGCTGGTCAAGATGAATTTTGTTAGCTATTAGAGAAAAAAAATGATAAAACAGCTATTTTTCTGAAGCATGTCTCGCTTGACAAATCAGCACTGATCACTACCTGACCTACAGATGTAATTTATCAAATAATGTTGATATGCTGTGATAGGTGATGATGTGGTGCCTTACAAGTTTGGTGAGAAATCCTCAGGGACCTTGAAAGCTGCTGGGTTCCAAAATGCGACATTCAAATCCTACAGTGGGTATGTTGGGGCAACCCCTTAAGATCGCTACTTAGGAGGAACTGGTTATGATATTGAATGTGTAACTGTCTCATTATAATTTCCTCATCTGTGCAGGCTCGGGCACTTCACAATTCCCGAAGAGATGGATCAGGTGTGCGCATGGCTATCTTCAAATTTGGTGCTCGATGGCTCATCATAAGGTGACAAGACAAGTTTCGAGAAATAACAACCGAGGAAGAGCTGGTGTCGAAGGAGATTTGTTAATGATTGGGATAATTTAATTGGGTGACCCGTAGTTTGTGCTGGTGATTTCAATGGTATACGTACGTTGGCTATGAGTTTGGTTCTCCTGCTGTCTTTTTCGTATTATTTGGCACATTGGAACCTCATGAACTCCCGGTGGTGATTCATGGTATCTCATGTAAACATACGGTTTGGGGTGGCAATACCGGGATTCTGGAAATCTTAATTTCATGTTTGCTTAAGTGCACATTTGACATGGTCTTTTGCGGTGGTGATTCATGGTATCTCATGTAAACATACAGTTTGGGGTGGCAATACCGGGATTCTGGAAATCTTAATTTCATGTTTGCTTAAGTGCACATTTGACATGGTCATTTAAGCTGATTGGTTCCTATTCCTAGGGCAATCCTTGATTAAACTTTTGCAAGCAGATAACAACTAGGATAAAGATGGGACACAGAAGGTAAGAGCGAGATTTGACGATGAAGTGCCAGTGATCCGATCTGACCTCAGAGTCCAAGTGTACTTGGACTCCGTTAATCAGCGCGTAAAGAATGTGTTTGGTCGTCTGCCCCGGAATCCAGATTTTGCATATGACCGAATAGGGTGGTAAAGCCAAGTCTCCATAGTGCTTATTTGCTCCCTCTGCTAAGCCAAGGGTGGTCACGATTGATTCAAGTTGCTGCGCGCAGATGATGTTATACAAAGATTACATAGAGTTAGGAGTGGGAAAGCTCATGAAAACCATACCCATAAGGAAGATGGAAAAGTAAAGCCTTTATTAGGAAATCTCTCAAAGACCCAAGTCACCTGATGTATGAAAGGAAGTTTAGTAAAGCTGCTTGTCTTTCAAAAAAATTTATCCTTAGTGTCTGCCTTTTACAGGTCAACACATACTCTCTTGACTTAAAATTTGCGACGGACAAAATTTCATAATCCTTATATAAACGGGTGTGTTTGTTTCACTGAAAATTTCATGACAAAAAAAAACATTTTTTATGAAAATTATTTTAAAGAAAAAAAGTTATTTTTTATTTGTTATTTTTTAGTTTTCTACCATTCAAACATCATAATATCGAAAAACAATTTTTCAAAAACAGTTTTGCCTAAGACATTGAATCAAACACCCGCCATCTTTTGAAATGGCCAAAAGCATAGTCACGTTCAAACTGCGCTGTCCGCTTTGTCCATTTCATTGTTTCTACCAGACATTTGCCAGTTGTGCTCTCATGTATGCTTGGTCACTGTCGACTTTACAATCCAGACTCCAGAGAGAGAGAGAGAGAGAGAGAGAGAGAGAGAGAGAGAGAGAGAGAGAGTGTGAAGCTAAAGCTTGTCTGGGATCTGACACCTCCCAAAAAAAAAGCTTGTCTGGGAGCAGGTACATCAACAGCCCCCTGCCTCCAACAAAGAAATCATTAATCACACAATTGCTGGCAAGATGGACAAAAAAACAGAAAAATTCAGAAAAATTTAAAGTCAAACATACAGGTTGGAAGGTGAACAAATTAAGGACAATTCCAATTGCAAGTGCAAAACAAAAGTCGTAAGTTGCAAACCAATGGAAAATAACAAATGATGAATTGGCCATATCATTTATCTTTGAAATAGCACAGTTAACAATGTTACAACCCCAGTTGCAGGGAAGCATCTTGTCCTCCCTTAATTGAGAAGGCAATCGAGTATCACTTCTGCATCTCTTTAACGAAAACCACTTCTCCGCTTCCCGTCACAGGTGACAACAAGTGCTTTTCTTGTTCACTTTCGTCTATTTCAGTCGACTCGTAGGGAGTGGCATTTGATAAAGATTCCGTTACTTCATCCTCTGGAGATTAAAAAGAATGAACAGCAATTACGTCCACGTCTTAATGGCAAGTGTGCAAAATGATATTCATTAACAAGAGAGAGAGAAAAATGCAGAGAATCATTACCGGAACATTCACGGTACTCTGGCGACTGTTTGACTGTAGTTAATTGTAAGCTTTCTGGAAGCAGACAACTGCATAGAGCGCCTACAGATATAATGCAAGGTGGCGATCGTCAACACTTAACAGCGGTTCCGTTTAAGAAATACAACAGTTTTTAGAGTGGTTCTATATAAAAATAATGGTAGTAAAAGAAAATTTCAAATATTTAAGGCTATACCAATCAATACATCTAGGTTTTTTTCATACATGTCATTTCATAGATTGGATATGCCACCAAAATACACGGTAAGATGCACAAAATGCTAACAACAATAAATCATGTCGGTTCTTTGTCCCGAATAGTCGTAGAGAAAGCTAGAAGAATTAGCATGCGATGAGTGTATGTCCACCCCTGTGCAATCGATACAGCTAGTTTGTTTACCTGGACGTCAAGATAACCATATATTTGTAAATTTCAGTTCACTAAACATGGAGATTCACTTCATTTTTCTGACTTGCCCATCTTATAAAAGGTCAAGTCAACCTATTTTTCAATCTTGCATGAAGGTGATTACAACGGAAACAAAAACGAACAAGCTGAAAAGATTGAGAAGATGTAAACATCAGAAATTTCATGAACTTACCTAACCGAGCAAGCCTATTTACCCAACCAGGGATCCGTCGGCCCGTCAATCTCAATGAGACATCGTCTGTGAAATGATTACAGTTCTTGGAGATGAGGTGATAAGTATCTCCATGGTATTCAGATGCCATATTCTCAATAAATGTTCGAAATTCTGAGGGAGACATATTGATGCGTCCCAACGATATGGTAGTCCTATATAAGAAACCCGGGCAGCTCCTTGGTTCCACTTCAAAAACCCCACTAACTGGGAAGTCGTGGGCACCAAATCCATACTCTTTGCCATGAACTGTTCACGCAATTAGTCGGGTGTTTCAGGTTATCACGACAAATGAAGAAATAAGAACTCAGGAACAGAAAAGGGAAATCGAAGAGAACTTCTATGAGCAACTTCTTGAATCGGCCTAACAGGGGATTTGAGGCATAACTACATGTTAATAAGTACATCTGCAGTGATTTAAGCATTCAATTCATTCGAGCAATTTGGCTCATTAAACAACGCAAGTCGAAGCATAGTGACACCCGCTGACCAACTATTGCTATCTATTTGCTTATGTCTCATTACCAGAGAGTAAAATCCTCTAGGATCATCTTCAAGAAATTGCAAAAGAAGCCGAACCACTCAATGACATACAGACCAGAGACAATAAGGTCATAACTCTCGACGGCGTCTCCTCCCTCTCACCATGCCTTTGACCCTTTGACCTTGAGGTTAATTTATCTGATGTCCAACCACAAAGTCACAAGGAACGAATTCTAAGTAAACATTCAATAAGCATTCCTCAAGCAACAAAATTCAGTTGCATTCAGTAGTTCACAAGGTACACAAGTCTAGGAACTAAGGAACATCCGACTTCATCACGAGTATCCAACGCACTGCATTATCAGTCAGCATCAGATCATATCGGCGAACATCATACCAAATCTCTCCCAAATCCGAAACTCATATCAAATAGAGAGTACGAAATGCAACCTCCGTGGCACTTTCATCATCAACAAAAACCCGAGCTTTCAACACCACAGAGCCGATCCCGGCAAAATCACAAACACCCAGATCGCAAAAACACCCGAACAAATCCAAAACAACTCGAACGGCAGAGCTAGACGCAAGAAGCCATCAGCCATCAGCTCAAGCAAACGCACCTTCGATGCCCGAATGGAAGATGCCGAAGCCGAACCAGCAGGTGTAATTATTAATGGGCGTGAGGTCGTAGACGTTCAGCACCACCTGCGTCTCGCATTCCGAGCCCGATCCGGAGGTGGTCTCCGCACCCATTTCGTTCTCCTCTTCTTCTTTTGGTGCTCCTCCTCCTTCGAGAATTCAAGAGACGACGCCCACGAAAAAGCCAAGAACCCTAGATTCGTTTCCTATGATCCGTGAACCGAAAAGGGAAAGAAGCAAAAAAGATTTCGCGGCCTCCAAGATCTCTCTTCCGGGGCTCAGAAGGAGGGGGAACCAAAAGAGGAGGAGAATCTCGGATGGAGAGGGAACAAAAACCGAATATGATGAGAGAGAGAGAGAGAGAGAGAGAGAGAGAGAGAGAGGAGTCAAACGAAGAACACGGGTGGCTCTGTCTCTCTCTTTCTCCCTGACGGTTTGACCTTCCGGTTGAAGGAATGAAACATGGAAAGGCCGGTAATGATCGGGCAGCCTAGGAGGAGGGATCTAGCTTAGTATGATCAAAGACATGATTTGTTGCTAGCTCTTGTCTGCAATGCAAAAGATTGCTTTCAGCAGCTCATTATTTGTGTGAAAATTTTGTTTAGTCCTCTTACTTTTGGACTTGCTCGATTTTTGGACATTGTGATTTCACGGGACGAGTTTGATTCGTGTATTTTATCGCATTTCTGTCCGGTCCCGATGGAGTTTGTCGTATACGCATTCCATGGGACAAGTTTGATCCGTGTATTATCGCATTTGAAGTCCTAAAACTTGTCACGAGAATGTAATCGAGTTCTTAAACTTTCAAAAACTGCAATCAAATCTTAAATCTTGTCAGGTTGGTGTAATCAAGTCATTCGCTTGATTATACTTTTTTGAAAGTTTTAGAACTCAATTACATTTTCTCGACAAATTTTAGAATTGCATTGCATTTTCTAAAAATTTTAGGACTCCATTGTGTTTTCGTGATAAGTTTTAGGACTTTCAGTACATTTATCCATTCTAAAACTATCTTTATTATATGAAGTTAAACCCGATCGATGGGCGGACCGGGTCTGTTATCAAACTTTAAAATCGTCCTTCAAATTTGCTAGTGATTAGAACAATTTTAAATTTTCTATATGGAATTAACCTGATGCTGGACGGCTTGGAGGGTTCAAGGTGGACGAGCCAAGTCCAAGAATTAAGTCAATTAGCCCTTTCGGCCCCACAGGTGCCCGCCTAGCGATGAGGTCTAATTAGAACTATGTTTGTCAATTTATGTCGTGTAGAGATTGAGCATATGGATAATAGTTACCACAAGTAGACACCCTGTTTTGCGTCTTTCTCGTTTGCAAAATCAGAAATGACTAGCCAAACAAACCAATGGGCTAAACCAAACCTTTGTCATCATGGCATATCCAAATTTTAAAAGTTATGAAAAGATTAATGGGAATTCACGTGCCGATAATTGTATATTGTGAAAGTTTCGAATAGCTTGGATAATGAAAAAGGGCAAATTGAATCCCTCGCGGGATTTGGATCAAACAAAACATACAAAATAAAAGTTCATCTAGACACGCCCATAATATTATTATTTTCAATAACAAAGATTATATATAACAATTATTTCGAGCTGTAGGTCTTTCGAACCGATCAAAAAATAAGAAAATCTTTAATACTTGGCACAATAATTAGTAAATAGGGTGGCTGAGAGTACACTGCTCAGAGAGACAGAGACAAAAAGATTTTACACTAATCTAAGACTAACTAACGTTTGGTTTTCAACACAGTTTCTAAGAATCTTCGACTGACATATAATTTATTATTAAATTTATTCTTTTTTATATAAAAAAATTCTTAAATATCTAAATTCTCTATTCTCGGATCTAGTTTTATTATTAATCTCGCTTAGTGCTCATCCATATTCATTTGATTTGTCAACATTCAACCATTTCATTTGTCACATATGCACTCCCACATCTTTTGAGCAAAAACTGATCTTTGAATAAGCCATAATTTTCGCACAGGTAGATTTTAATTGTTGGTAAATATCAAAATACTGTTGTTAAAAAGAATGGCTGACGATATTTTTTGTTCCAGGTAATTTGTCGGTGACATATTAACATTATTAAGAATTACTAATTTTTTATAAATTGTAAATAAGCAATTTTCATCCAACTTACCAACTTTTATCTTGCAAGACATATTGAACACTTCAAATTTACTAACTTAGCAACTTTTTAAATTTAAGACACTGATAAAAAGGACAAAAGGAGTTGGTAATTTGCAAACCGACAACAACAGTTGGTAATTGAATAAGCAACATCAATAAGTTACCAACACGTTATCGAAAAAATTTTGCCAACAGTTTTTTGAGACTTTGCGACTCTTTCTGAAAACATTCGGCACGAAAATATAATCCGTTATTTTGGATCCATGGCATAGAATCAAGACCCACAACTTTCTTTCAATTGCTCCATCCATCTCCAACATTCAATCACGTATCTTTATTAAAAAGTCAAAGTAGAAAACTTTTGAATCAGTTGAATGAAGAATGATAGTTCTGTCCTCAGAAACTGACATGATTTGAGTCAATACTCGATATGGTTATCAGAGCAAGAATCGGGCTAACTCTGTGCCGGTAGCTAAGAATAGGTAAAAGGAGAGAGAGAGAGAGAGAGAGAGAGAGATCCCACGAATGCATTATCAAATTGCAATCTCAGCAAGAAAAATGACAGTTTGACTCGTGTTCCTGCATCATGTTCATCTCACAGCATATGGCTCCCAAAGCATGGACGTCGCATCACAGCGGTGACTGCAAAAATTAATTCACCGTTGTCGACGGATCCTAACAAGGGTCTCTATTTTCAAAACAGTCCCTCTAAGACAGTGGACGGCAAAAACTACGCAACGTCCCAACATGCCCTGTACTCGGTGTTCCTAAAGTTACTTAGTTACAACAAAAGAAACTGGAAGACCTATATATATCATCATTTTATGTTCATTGCAGCTGACATGGCTCGTAGCTCTTTCGCAACGTCTGAGAAGGATGGCCTTGAATTCACATCGGTGGACCAACATCTCTCCATCAGTGATCTCCACGCCGGGTCACACCAACTCGGGATTTCAGGTCGTAGAGTTCCTTTGAGAATACCGGCTGAAACATCATCAGGAGAGAAATAAAGTCAGAACAGGCTTTCCTTTGACAATGCTTACTCTGATCAATACCCTTACAAAATATCCAAGAAGGGTATATAGAAAAACCAAGGTACGAAAAATAAAGCGAAATTCACAGAGCATTCGGTCGCCAATTCTGAAAAAGCATAGAAGACCAAACAGAAAAAATGGCATTCTAGAACTAATGTTTAGGTGGCCCTTTTGAATTTGTAAACCCCTTACTATAACAGATCAGAATTCTCAGTCTGGGATCATACCTATTATATCCTCCGAACGTAAGTTTGCATAGGGTTCTTCCCCAGTCAAAAGTTCCCACATGACTATTCCGAATGAGTATACATCAACCTACATTGTCAGCACATTCCCAAATTACAATGTTAAGATTGGGGCAAGGAAAATGTTGGCATCGAAAGTTGTAAATTGTATTATAGTCCAATTATTAAAATACCTTCTCTGTCACCGTGTTATTCTTATTGTTGAAAAGTTCGGGAGCCATCCATGGTATTGTCCCTCGCACTCCACCAGAGACCAGCGTTTTCTTCTTGATTTTTGATAAGCCAAGATCACCAATCTGAGGAAGGTTTACACTCACAGTTACACCTTACTCAAGAACAATGAAGGATTTGCAAATAAAGGCTCAGGCACTTAATAAAGAGGGAATCTACACTGCGATTACATTATGAAAGGCAGGACATCTAAGGTAATTGATTAATCACCTTACAAACTGGTCTCTGTGGGTCCCTCATATTCACAAGGAAATTATGAGATTTCAAATCGAAGTGAACAATGTTCTTCTCGTGTAAGTATTCCATCCCAAAGGCTGCATCCATTGCTATAATCAGCCTCTTCCGGCGATCAATTGTCCTGTCATCCAGTAGAAACATAAGCAAGCATAAAATTTGGCCTTAAGTAATTAAATTCCAAAACTGGCGAAATAGGACTTTGTCCCCACAAGAAAGATGAAACGGTCATGTGAACTCTGATATTTCACAAATAGTTTTAGGTTGAGGAGATTTCTGAGGCACAACTAGCCACAGCTCATATCAGTATACAGATTATGTCTACTACTTAAGTTTCTGAATTTCAGACCTTGCAGGGAAGGGGGTTGCTTTTTCCTTTCATGCCGACGTTCTCAACCTCATATTTTATTTCATCCCTCTTAACGAGCGTAGAGTTGGATCAACTTCTTTATTTTAGTCAGTATTCAGTAGGCATATGCTGCCTGCTTCAATTCAGGAGTAACTTGGTTCTGGGGACTTTAGAATAGAACAGTGTTAGACAATGGTCACCATAACTTCATAAAGAATGTCGACAACTCTATAATCAACTGAACAAGCCAAGTCAATGCCAGAATAGATGGTAACAGGATAATAAACTTGCGAGAATACAAAGTGACAGGCTAATGCAAGGTTACTCTCTACAACAATACTTAAAATCCTTATGATCTTGGTAAATATTCACAAAGTTCAGAATTCCAGGATGTCAAGGCAATTTAACCAAACCAACTGGTTTTAATACTGATCACATTAGGAATCCACAAAAAGCAAAATGTAGCAGCAGTATTAGGTCAGGTACTTAGATTTCCAACTTCAAATGATTTACATTAAACTTAATTGTTTATTTACTTATGATATTAAGTTCCATGTATATAATTCAGACGGATTTATACCTATCTTTCTTTCGCAAGACTTGTTTGAGGGAGCCATTGACCATATACTCTGTTACAGTTGCCAAACTTGTCACTGGCCCATCTGAAACTACTCCATAAAACGCCACTATATTTGGATGGTGAAGCTGGCCCAGCAAGTGAGCCTCCTTCCAAAAGTCAGCAACCTGGACGATATGATAACGAGATCGACAAATTAGAAAATATCTTTTCATTCAGTAGCCTTTTGTTTTTCAAGTATAAGTTCATCTATCATGTCAGACCATGAAGCTGAATCAGCAGGTTTATAAATAGTAATAATACGAGTTGACTAATCCGTCTAGTAAATAGGTCGCCCCAGTGGCGAGGGGGGAATGGGGTAGGGAAAAAGCTTTCAGACTAGAAGATTGGATCACTCAACCAGAACAACACCCATATAACACCAATTAACTTTTTGAGACAGTTAAATCTAAATATCGTCCATGAAGAATATGCACTCAATGTGAAGGGTAGGCTTAAAGTAGGCTGGTGATAACGGAGGATGAGCATTGGTGCAAGCAGATGCCCAGAATGCAAACGAGTACATTCTGTAGGGCTTAGGCCCCCATTTATACAAAAAGAAGGGCATATTTTGACAAGACATCAGTTAGGAAATCTTACTATGACTGAGCAGGCAGTTCAAATCAAAAGGAAACCAATACGTGGAATTCTCTAGCAGTTAGGTTCGCATAAAAATGTTTGGTGGATGATAAAAAGTTTGAAAATCTATGATCCTACAAACAGAGTTTCTCATAAAAAAAGATAGTGACTACAAGTGATTGGTAATTACAATAAATCTGCAAATCTACCAAGTAACCAAACATTTGAGACATGACATTTAAATGTCGCAACTGGGAGAAATTACCAGACGATCTTCCCGAGCAGCACCGTCTGTGAAGCAACAAGACTTTAGCCTCTTAATCGCAACATCAGATCCCCTCCACTTCCCATAGTAGACAGTTCCATATGTACCGGATCCCAGTTCCTTTATACATTCTACATCTGTAGTTTTAATAGTCTGCAGAGAAAATGGAAACCTTTAATCCTTCTAACATTGGAAGGGAAGGCACCAAAGCAAATTGAAATATTACCTGCAGTCCTTGAGAAGCGAGGTACGCCTTAAATGCAGTCAAGTCCATTGAGATGCCGCCAATTACCTTAGAGCACTTGGGACTTCCTTTAAACTTGTCCTGTCAAAGGAAAGGCTCATGCTGAGTGAAGTCAATGGATAGTATCATATGCTCAAGAAACTTTACTCGCTAATTCCTTGAGCAAATGGGAAAGTATCCTCGAGCATTACCTTGCCGTCAATGCTTAAACCTGATGAAAGTTCCTCCAGATTATCTTTATAAACATGATTTTTTTCCACCTTAGGGACAGCCTCTGAAGACGAATCAGATTGAACTCCATTTGATTCATCAAGTTGTGGGCCCGTGCTAAACTCCATCAGATCTATAGACTTGGCTTGTGGCTTGGCCAAAGCATTGTTGCTAGTTGCACGAGAAGACTGTGCAGATAGTTCCACTTCTTTGGATGACGATAGTGAGAGGTTATGTAACGACAGATCAACTGATGATGAAATGTTATTATTATAGCTTGACAAGTTAATCCCCGTTGATCTACTGGGAAACTTGCCGTAGCATCTCATGCCTGTGCTGTCACTACATTTGCTGTCACTTGGCAAGAGATATAAGTCGGAACTTTCCAAAGGATCCACAGGAAGTGGTTTCTTGTCTGCATTAGAACTACATTTTGACCCATTATGGAAATTTTCAGGGGAGGTTTGATGTATTGCAGTGTTCTTATACTCATTTAATGCGGATTGGACATCATCTTGAGCATTCATCACCTCTAGGCATGTCGATGGACACATGGAATCATGATGCACAGCTGGCTTCCCATCCACACCTGCAGAGACGCCTCGATAAGTTGGATTGCATTCCATAAACATTGCATTTGCATATAGTAGGGTTGGATAATCACCTTGAGCATAAATGCAAGGATTTTCACGATTCGAATAGGAGTTCATCAAACTCACACTTCCATTCGACAAACAGTTATAAAATCCGGTCCATGCCTTGTGCTCTGCCTGATGTGTCGTTAACTGCTCCTGCTTTGACATATTAGAAATAGGCTTGAGACCAGGATAACCTTTTCCAAGCGATAGCCTCTGTTCAGCTTTAACGGCTAGGTGGCTCTCCATCTCAGCTGGATCATAGCGATGATTTCGGACATGATATGGATGAACCCTCTGATCTCTTGCATTGGATGCAGCTGATCTGTGGCTGCGGTTACTGCTCTGCATCGCTCCCCATGCCCTGCCAGCCACAGCTGAAGGCTCTTGAGCATAACTTCTTCCGGCAAGTGGATTGATGCAAGGTAATGGTACAATGTTTTCCCTGTTCAAATGACTCTGCAACCCCACGTCGATCCTTCTCAAGTTTTTCGAAGCATCAACACTATCACCCTTCAAAACCACTGCGGGATTGCCCCGTTGCATTGGATCCTGAGGTACGGTAATATAATGACTTGAGCATCCTTTGCAGATCCCTGACTCGTGGCCACATTTCCGCGATACAATCTGTGAAGCTAGATACGTTTGCACAGGAAGATTCCCGTTTCTTGGAGTTAGAGGGCGTGGGCGTGCTACCCGAAATTGAACGAGATTATAACGGCTCTCACTGCCCGGACAATGCGTGCCCACTTCTCTACGGTCCAACATGCCCATCGCGGCTTGGGGTCCAGAAGCCAAATCAGGATGTGACTGATCGTACTTTGCGCGCGCCCCGCGAGCAGAAAATTCCATCTTTGTATTCGAAACATCTCGAACATTGTTGTAAACAGCCAATTGTCTCACGAGAATTGGCTCGGTCCACCCCATATTCCTAACAGGATCATCACGAAGTCCCGTCCCGGCAACACCCGTCGCCGGATTCTTAACAACCGCGCAACTAACCAAACTGCCGCGAAACCGGGCCTCCTGATCTTTTCGACCCTCGAATCCATAACCATTGAAACCCCCCAACCCTCTCCTACCCGAAAACTCATTCTCCCCACACACGCCACCCCCCCGCGCACCGCCATCCTTCCCTAGCCCACCACCGTCTTCGCGACCCTTACCATCACTACCGTCGCTAAAAACAAAGAGCCAGAGCCTCGCGTGCTTACCGCGCGCCTCGAGCTTGTCGTGCTCCTCGATCATGCACCTGACGTCGTCGTTGGAGGCGACCGAGACCAGGGGCGCGTCGCCGGCGCGGCCGGCGCCGGGGAGGAGCTGGTACTTGACGGAGAAGCCGCCGGAGCGGGGAATGCTGGGGCAGAGATCGGCGATCTTGGACGCGAGGCGGGAGAAGGAGACGCCGCCGCGGTCGACGGAGACGATGCGGGTCTCGCCCCCGACGTAGCGGAGGTCGCCGGAGGGCGGGCGGGGCTGGAGGGCGCCGTTGAAGCTGCAGACGAACTTGAGCTTTCTTGATGGGTTGACGCCGGCGCCGGTGGCGGCGGCGGCGGCGGGTTTCTTCCGGAGGCGAGAGAGAGACAGAGGCTCTTTCATGGCGAGAGAGCGAGAGAGAGAGAGAGAGAGAGAGTGTGTTGGGTGGCAGAGAGAGAGGGGGAAGTGAGAGAGAGTTTATAGTTGCGAGTGCGAGTGGAGGGGGGGAGAGTGACGTCATGCGAGGGGGGGGTTATGAGTGGATTGACCGAATTGCCCTCGATCTAAGATAGGAAACTTCCTACTTTCATTAGCAATTTCACCTATAATTTTAGTAATAGTTGAGTTAATGTCACGAAAAATCTTAAATTTATACAATTATGATAAATTTATCCTAAATTAAATTTTTGATTTCGAAAAACCCTAAATTGATACATCTATGACAATTTTACCTTCAAATTTCTAAGTTGAATGACACTTAGTAGTTGGCAAGTGTATCGATTTGGGGTTTTACCCTCCGTCTGTCACGTATGTACCATTTTGTAGTTTTTCGTGATGTTAATTCAATTTAATGGAAGGTAAATTTGTCGTAAATATAAAAGTTTAGAGTTTTTTGTGGTCAAAAGGGTAAATCTGTCACAAGTATACTAATTTGGAGTTTTTGATTGTCAAAAAATTAGTTTTGGATAAATTTATTATAGGTGTACCGGTTTAAGATTTTCGTGGTATAAGCTCGTAATGGTTTTCCTACTTTGAATCTATTCAGGCAACTTTTCCGTGAATTACACCATGAAATAATTCGAGTTCATAAAATTGAATAATTATTTCGTGTGGAATTGTGAGTCTAAACACCCTATGAGTTATTATGTGTCGATCGAGTGTGATTGTAAGCTCTCGTTTCATCGCTCAATCCATAATGAAATCCCGTGCCACTTTTTTCCATCACTAATTGAATCACATGAATCTGAAGTTCAATTTATAAATTAGTGTTTATACTTTTATAGTTGGTTACGTGTAGCGCCTTAAACGAGTCAAAACAAAGCGCATATTTGTACTTTAGTCCATTACGTGGGCCAACATCTAAATTCGTGCAAATATTATTATAATATATGATGGAGTGGGGGTCATTAATCAATTAATTAAAAGCATATGCTAACTTGCGCGCCTAAGTTCCATGCATGAACATCAAACCCAGGAGAAGGAAAAAATGGAACCGATTTTTATTAACAGGTGTCTCCGAAATATTCGATAAATTATAATATAAAAAATTTACGCAAGTTTTTATACGTCTCCTTGAATGTGTATTATACGTTACATATTCTGGGAATTTAAGTAGCTTTATCAAAATATGCTCGATAAATATTTCGAAATTTTTATTAGCAGGTGCTTATTTGGTGGAGCGGTAGAATTATCGGTTTTTTTTTTATCGAAGAATTATCGGTTCAAAACCAATAAAAGTGCTTTTTGCATATCACTTTGTTAAAATTCAAATAATTTTTTATGTACTTGAAACCAAGGAAAATCTCTGCATAATTTGTCATCGAGGAGATTTCAAATATCTGGCAAATGAAAGAATACCATGCACGTCAGAAAGGTTTCTAAATCGGCTAAAATCAAAATGGATTACTCAAATAATAGCCATTTAATTAAATAAACCATCTCATGTGAATACCATTACAAACCCTCCAAATCCAATACACGATCTGAGTAGTACAAATTCCACTGTATGTTGATCTCCTCATCAGTGTCGGCTCATATAACCTAACAATACTCTTTATTCAATCGACGTTTCGGTTTATTCCTGCCCGCTTTCTCATCCCAAGGCACTGTTGAGAGCCGCACATATGCGGCGTCTTTTCGTCAAATTATTAAGGTGAGCCGCACATATGCAAGCGTCTTTTCGTCAAATTATTAAGGTCCACACATCTGCATCGTCTTTCTCCGTAGGATCTAAAAAATGCTGCCAGTCAAACTCCGCCGCATCAAATCATTAAGGTCCGTTAAACAAAAATTAATCTAGATACCGTTCATAAATCATTAGGTATAATCAATTCCGTAGTTATCGAATTATGACGCGATTTTTATTATAGTTAATTATTTTATTGGAATATTTCAATACGAGGGAAATATAAAAAGAAAGAAGAAGGAGGTGCACTTTAAGGTTGGCAAGTCAGGCGCACATCGGCATACGAGTCCAAAAAAAGAGAATAGCAGATAACTTCACCATCAAGTTTGGTATCCTCGTGCTGACGTGGACCACTTAGATCCCCACCTGGAAACCACAAAAGCCGATACAAAAGTGCGCCTCTTCGGTTGGGGGATTCGGGCCCCACTCGGGGGCCCACCTCTGGCCACCAGCACGGCGACACGTGGCGGTGATGAGTTGGTAACCCATCTCGTCGTCGCCGCCGCCGCCGCCGCGGCGGGGTCAAGCCGTGGGTCCCGAATCAGAGTCAGCATGTGGAGCCCAGTGGCCGGTTTCGGGCGGCCACGGGTCAAGCGCTGACGTGGACAAATGGGACGGTGGATTGATTCGTACATCAATCGGGAAGTGACTCCAGCATTTTGGCGTATAGGGGACAAAACATCCACGTTTGATTTGATTTCTCTTTTGTTTTGAGGTTGTGAATTGGGATTGAAACTTTTGTCCCTTCTTCTTGTGGACAAAAGAGTGCATGCTGTTCTTGTATTATTATTATTATTATTTTTCATCAAAGTAACATTCCATTTATTTTCACGGAAATATAAAAAGAAAACTATGTTGTCCAACTGCAAATCTAGATCTCAAACAACTTCAAAAACAAAACAACTCCAAATAACGTGACGAATCACCGGGATAATATTTGAGGTTATACGCTTAAAAAGCAGATCTGTAACTTCTTTAAACCAAAATCGGTGGCCGATCATCGAATTTGTCTTCAATAACGAGCACATATCGAGACCTCCATTTGTTACTACAGCTTTGCCTTCCGGCGATGAGAGCCTGGGTTCGGCGTCCCCAATACCATCACCATTAGGAATAACAAGGTTAAACGAGCATAGATCTGGCATTTGTTAGAGCAAATCCTTCATGAAGCTCTTCCGATCTCTTTCAAAACTTGACTTGTACATCAATGAGACTTGAGGAAAGCGAAACCCCGAAAACATACAGAAAATCCCCAAATCTAGACTAGATTTTGGTAGTAACAACGTTGTTCTCGTATTGAATGAGAAAAATTATTATAGTATAGTGGATATTGGATGAAATCAAGGCTAGATGGTAAATATTTCAGAAGGGTTGGGTTCATATTTATCTCAAAAGTATCTGATCTCGCGTTGATAATTCATCATATTGCTTATACATCTCGGATCTCAATTATCGTTTAATCTTCGGGGCACACATTCAATAATTAGACGAGCATTAAAGTCGTTCGTCCAAAATGTTGTTGTTAATTACTCGATCGAGGCAAGAAAAGTTCATCTTTCTTCTCGAGTAAAATCTTGGGACTTTGATCACCAAACTGGCCCCATCGACATAGGTTATGAAGAAATAAGAATTCGTACTTTATATTTTCTAGGTTATGTTTGATAGACCTAATCGCACCATTCCTAGTCGCGATTATTAGACTACAACGACTTAACTCGCTAATTGCAAGCGATGACTTATCCAATCGTGCCAAATTTTTCTTTTTTTTTGGTTGGTCCGAATGAGCGGCTTCGCCGTTACTAGGCCATATCATGAAAGTATAGCAATTTCCCCGACGACACATTCACTCATGTTCAATGAAAATCATTAGCATTTGCATAACAACATGAACAATAAGGCTAGTCGACACGAACCCGATTTCGCAAAACACGAATTCCCCAGTCCTATCCTATGCTCATGGACCGGCCTTCTCGGTGAGCCGCCCTCATGTGAACGAGCTCTTGACCGCGGGGCTAGCTTTCAAAGTCAAAGAAAGCGATGTCATCTCTTGAGTCCATGACATGACCCTTTGGGAGTTCGGCTACAGCGCATGACGTTGCAGCAATTCTAAACTGACGGCAGCAGAATGCATCTTTTCAATTTCGAAATGAAATTTCTCCGGAAAATTTAATTTTCATTAATATAATGAAGACGGTGGAAATTACAATTATGATGTTTGAACCTCACGGTCAATGCACGCTGTTGGAAAAAATGTGTTTGTAGGAAATGGAATCGGAATGTAGTCGGACTTTGGGGCGTGTAATCACTGTCTTTTTGGATCAATTTACCCCACAAAGTTGTTGCAGGTTACTGGTAAATTCCCTTCAGGATACAACAAAGTCACGGTGAGAATACTGGATAACAATTCCGGTATTTCTCCTAAAACTCTCTGCGAAACAATTGAGAGAATGGCTGTCTCGTTTTTCTCTTAAAGAAGACGAAAATGAAGGGAGTTATTCCTTACCAAAAAAAAAAATAAAAAATGAAGGGAGTTATGTTCTTCTGTCAATTGAATAGAATTGTCAAATATATATAGAACACGTCTCTTGGTGTCTAACTATCCATACGGACACACCCATTCATGTCCGAAACATTGCAATTTGGACATAACCCTTCGTGTCTGAAAATCGCCATTCGGACACAATAGTTCATGTCCGAAAAGTTGCAATTCGAACACAACTCTTCAAGCATGAAAATTGTCAATTTTGGACATACCTTTTCATGTCCAAAAAACGGACAGTTTTGTTCGAACAGTCATTAGTTAAAATAAATAAATAAATTGTTGATTAAAGCCTAAGTGAGCGTAATATGCGCGTTAAAATCGCGCACCCGCACGCGGATATTATAGGGTCAAGCCCGCTCACCCATTTTTCTCCATTTACAATAAAAGATAATATTTTAACTTATAAATAGATCAAAACTTTCATTTCTTTCCTATGTAAGACAAGGAAATAGCCTTATTTATTTGTTTTACAAACAAACATCAACACACGCTAGATCAAAATTCTAGTCATGAATACCACCTACTCATGTCTTTGTGTTACAAGGCGCTACTTGACAACACAAGTCTAGCTCCACTTGGTGCGATATCTTCAATTTGTACATGAACATCAAAGTTCTTAGTAGGTCTTACGGTGGACGGATGTAATGGCTCCGATACGCGAGGCTATGGTAAAGCC